ACAAGTACACAGAGCAAGTATAATCACGACAAGTACAAAAATCACTGACCTTTGTGAAATGAGCGCCGAAGTATCCAATTTCAGATTTCCAACTCAGATTTGAGTTCCGAAGACAAAAGACATATAGCTTATGTTAGTCCTTTCCTAGTAGATTTCTGAGTATTTTTAATTCTCTTGAATGATCGAGTCGAAACTGCAGATAACACTTTATCGGGTAGCAAGTTCCACGAGTTAATGACTTGGTATGAAAACCTGTACGTCACATGTATTTAGTTTGTTTTATGCTTTTGTGCCAGACTGTCATGTCCTCTAAGACGTTTTGTTTCTGTGGTAGGAAAAAGAGATGATATATCAGATTCAAAATAATCATCAAAATAAACCCTCTTTGAAACCGTGTTATTCGCTGTTTGATCAGTTGTTGGTTCCCACAAATGTCGTTATGGTCTTTTTGATTGTTCTCTTTACTATTTTAACTACGACACTGGTAAGACCGACAGTTGTGAAAGCTGATGGAAGTTTTCTCGATCCTACTTTACTTAGTGGAGTGACGACTGCATCCTTCCAGTTGATAAACGACTCACCTTGGCCTAGTGACGTGTCGTATATCGTATTCCATAAGGTAGCCATATGTTGTGCAAATTGTCTCAGTGTTTTTGGGTGTAGTTAGCCCGGTTCAGTAAAATTTTCTTCATTTCTATCGATGGATTTCTGGCACGATCAAGCGGACTGAGTACCTCACGGTAATGTGTTTTAGACCAAAGCCGTTTTCAGAGTATTTCCCACCATCAGGTTTCTTTCGTTAGTGGGTTCACGGTATGATCTATATGCCATCTTTCCTTTGTAATTTCAAAATTCACTTCTACTGTCCTACGAAGCTCACAATTACTAACTCCTACTACAGTTTCCGCGGGGTAGCTTGTTTATTAAGGACTTACTTTGGCTTAGGTATTGTTCGATCCCAACCTTTGATGTGATGCGTTGTATTGGGGATGAAGATGCCACAGGTATTTGAAGTGTGACAACACTTTGACCAGTAACACCCTATATAAATCGTACCCGCCAAGTGAAATCAAAAGACAGAAGCAAGGATGTTCGAAGATACATTTGATAGGCTATCAATATATCGAGGGTCGACTGATCTAATCTGGCTAGCGATTGCAAAGGATGTTGAACACGGCGTTTCCACTCGTGATCTGGTGCGGATGCAGCTAGGTGAGTCAATTAAAACTAACATGGTCAGCATCCAATTTCGGAGACTTATGAGCTATTTATTTTGAGGAATTATTTACCGCTACTGATCACTCCTCTCCTAGTGGAGTAATGATGGCCAACAAGAAGCCTAAACCCAACGAGTTTGTCGCTTGTAAACAATCTCCTGAAATTTCACTGGTTGAAATCATTAGTCAATTGAAGCCAGACCACCATGGAAAACCTGGAAGCACTGGACCGCTTGCTAGGTTTAGCAGCCTCTGGTCGTCTTTCCTTACTAAAATGGAAATAAAATGAAATTTTTGGTTCCTCGTAAACTTCGTCGTTCTTTTTTGTCTTTTTCAGCCGTATTGGCAAAGAAGAAAATATGTAAGTGCATAAAGAAATATACTTGTACGCGTGTAGAAACACAGAGCGGGCGAAAAAAGTAAAATAAACTCTTGCACATGTGTTAGCGTAAAGAAGGACTTTTTAACGGCTTTTTTCATCTGTTTTTTTGGAGTTAAAACGTCAATGTATAAGCATATTAAAAATGTTTTTTAATTTTATATATAATACAAAGCAAAATCGAGATGATATAAGGTGTCTAGTATCTCACGTGCAATAAACGTACAAATGTTCTGGAATTCTTACTCTTCTTCCAGAACGCGTCGTTTTAAGTTTATTTCCAGATACTGCCGAAGTATCATCATGCATGTTGGCTGTCGAATTAGGTATAATAAGTGTAGGAACCGTATCATTCGATTGTACCGAAGGAAAATATACGTGCATAGGATTTTTTGTAAATACTCTGCTTTGAAGCGATCGATGCGGGTGCTATGGCTGGTTCCGTTTTTATCGACAATATAGTACTTGAGTTCGCGTTGAAGAACTATGAAGGGTCCTTCGTATATTAATTCAACAGGTCGTCGATGTGAGTCTCGATGTAGGAAGACATGCGTACTATATCTTAAGTCAAGTTGAACGAAAACATTAGTTGATTGCGGTCGACTTGAAACAGGTTTAACTGAACTCAGTGCGCTTGTAAGCCTCAGTTTTTTATATTACCATAAAACCTCATCACGACATCCTTTATTTCTTTCTCGCGTTTTGATTGACTTATAGCTTTATCGAACGCAAACAATTTGGTCTGTGCTAAGGCGTCTGAAAATGTATATATAATCTAAAAACTTGATAAAATATAAGAACCCAACCCAAGATAGAAAAAAGTATCTAAGAAGCAACAAAAATCGTATAACGACCTCAATATCAATTAATAGCTGACAGGTTACCAGTCACAAAGGATTGCAGGAAACAAATAAATTGTGCTTCACAAATATGGGTGAATTGAAATAATTGCACCCGCCATATATGTTTACTGGTCAGTAACCCCGCTCTCCCTTCTTTTCGACATTAGGCTTTTTCACGGTAGTGGTTGGATTGCAATTGTCTTACCTCCGAGCTCTATGTTCCACACCGTGTTAGAAAGCACGAATTCTGCAGGTACCTAGGACCGTTATGCCAGGTAGTTGAAGCTAATAGATCGCTGTTAAAAACCCGAAAACGGTTATGCATGGCAACGTAGGATAAAGTGTGTGTTTTGAAACAAAATACGTCAGCAGAAACAAATTAATAGGTAGAAGAGATATGGAATTTATTATTTCTAAGTCAATGAGCTTCTGTTTGAAGTTAAATGATAGGACTATTACATATATGAGAAAGAATGAAAATTGATGTTCAGTAAATAAGAAACATCTAGAACTGCGAGAAGTGCTTGCTGAATTGTTGGCGAATAATATCAGGGTCGTCAACAACGTTTCCGTTAATTATGAAGAATTTAGTCGTGCCAAGAGAATTTGACTTCACACGAGATTTATAAGGCCGAAGTACTGATAATTCTTGGCTTTTGCTACCCAGGGCTTTATTTTCTATATTTATAAAATACTTGCGTTTAGATGAAGCATTTCTGTCGATGAATTTAAGTATACCCTGAAGTGCATACACGTCATTGTGCTCGTAGTAGCGGCGTTTTAATTTACTCAGCTTTCCTTTAAAAATATTCTGGCTCCTATTAGCATTATAAGACACAGGGTCAATAACAGGAGCAGTTCAGTCAAGGCAATATATCAGGGAGTGGTAGAGATTGGAAAGCGCAATGTCAACATTATTTGTGGTAAAATAAGTTTCCCATGGTAAACATTGAATGAGAGTTCCAGTCCGTTTCCAGGTTTGTTGATCAAAATGTCTGCTCTGGTACATCATTGAAGCTTCAGAGTTCTTATCTTTATTCCACTACAAACTGTTAAGTATTATTGAGGGTTTAAATTCAGATGCCTTGTTGATTATTCCTTTCTCTTTTCCAGCATCACATTCAGTGCACGGCAATGGAGCTTCTTACGAGTGAAACAAACTTAATGTACGCGTTTTTCAAGACTAAAACTTACACCAAGTACCCCATAAATGTGCATCATAACTAAAAACATCTTAAACACTTTTATGGCATTAATACTTATCAGGACCAGAATTCTAACACAATAATGCTGAGTTTGGACCTGATGTGTAACGTGAACGCGATGCCATTTTGGAAAAAGGATATAGAACTGCGATTGTAGTGCCATCCTAAAACATTACCTAGTCATCAACTTTCTGAAACACCATTGATTTCATTTATTTACAATCTTACTTAAGAAGCACACTGTATGCAGAACAATATTGTAAGTTATAGATCATGCCTGTAAAAATGTCGTGTACCTGTTATGGCAGAAATACATAACATTATTTTACATGTAAGTGAATAACACTATCCTCATAGGAATCTGTTGAGAAGAGAGTTACACAAGGGCGAATTACGGGCACTTTTCCTTTGTTACTCTGAATAAGTCATCGACCTTAAGTTACAAAATCTTTTCTGTTTCCAATGGTTTACATGAAGATATGATGACTCACTTAAGGTATGACTGATGAGATACCTTTTGCAGAATATGAGAATAAAGAACCAGTATAAGGCCAGTATAGGCCACTCTAAGTGAGTTCTAACAAAACTATAGTAAATTAAATTGGTCGTGTTGGTTAACATAACTGCATAACAAAGTGGAGCGACGTTACAGAAAATGACTATATATAAAGAGTTAAGTCATACTTAAGAAAGACCAAAACAAAAGGTTGCTCTAAGGCTGTTATCACTAAATAAATATGGTTTTTTTGAGCTATTCATGATTCAGTTCGAAACTTAGAAGTAGAACGGCTTAGCATATGCGAATGTGAGGCCACACTTAGTGTATCAGATACAAGTAATGAGTCTTGTTTCCAGTATAAAATAGACATGCTTCAGACTTTTATTATTCTATTGTCTGAGGTGGACTGAAGTGGAGGCTTATTCTTCTCAAGGTCATCAACTTCAAACAGATGGCGGATATAGCCTTCGATCATATAACTCAGGAGGTTAGGGGTACTGTATATCCGGGTAAGCTTCGACTCAAAGAAGATGAGTTTATGTATAAAAACGAAAAGACTGGAAAGGTGGATCACTTCTCCCGGTCAGATATAGAGTCAGCCCAATGGATAGTCCGTGCTACTGGTTTAGGATTAAGCATAAAGTTAAAAAATAACTCTTTGCATCGGTATGATGGCTTTGGTGAAATCGAAGCGGAAAAGGTTGGGAGCTTTTTCAAGAAGTATTTCGACGTTGAAATTGTAAAGCGTGAACTGTGCTACAAAGGCTACAATTGGGGAGACGTGGATTTCGATGGTAATTCAAACTTGCATTATCTACTGATTAAGGCGATGTTCTCGAGTTTTCAGTTAAAAACGCCATGGCTTTTGAGGTTCCTCTAAGCAATGTTGCAAATGCTGTTTTGAACAAAAACGAGATTATTTTCGAATTTCACCTAAATGATGAAGCTGAAGTTTGCTTATCTGAAATGCGTCTGTACACTCCGGGAACTGAAGCTGATAGGGAAGGCAAAGCCCCTTCTATATATTCCAAGGTTACTCAAAAGGCAGATATTATTCAGGTAAGCTAATTATTTACTTTATCACGACAATTAAGGTTACGGGAGATTTCTTGGTCGAATTCAAACAGTTGCAGTGTCTTCAACCTCGTGGCCGTTATGATGTTAAATTATATCCAAGTTTTATCCATTTGCATGGCAAGTCTTACGACTTTAAAGTCCCAAAGAATACTATTACTCGGTTGATGGTGCTTCCTCATCCCGATAATCGGCAGATATTCTTTGCAGTTCAACTTGATCCACCGATCAAACATGGTCAAACCAGATATCATTTTGTGATTTCCCTTTTCGACAAGGATTCGCACATAAACTTGGAAATGGCTGCGACAGAAGACTGGCTTCAGGAGCAGTTCAATGGAAAATTAACTCGAAATATTTCAGGACCTGAATATGAAGTTGTAGCTCGCGTGTTCAAGGTGAGTTTGCCTTGGTGTTCTCAATTTCTAGAAACCTCTTTCACTGCCATCGGAAAGTCCCGTGGCATTATTAGGTTCTGCTTGAAAATATTCTTAAACTAACAGTTCTTGAATATGATTACTGGTTTTCCTAGGTATCTGGAGTACATGCTTATGAATTGAAACACTTAGGTAGCGAGAATTTATGTGAGGATTTGAAATTGATATCAATTTGCGTAAAATCAACCTAAGTTCCTTCGTACTGAATTCTTTGCTGGGAAAAGCCTTTATACACGTGGGTTAGCCGAATATGTCCTTATGACACAGATGACGAACTACTTCAACTTCTATTGCTACTCATGAGGAATGGCTATCCACCCAAATCCGTTGACACAGATTGGATCCTGGAAAAGCACAGGTTGTTCAAGATAAAACTGCGAATGTCGAATTTAAAGGAAATACGGTTGCCAAAATCCTAAGTAAACGGATTTCAAAACCCATGAATAAAGCCTATCGAGCTAGGCCTTGTGCTGTCTTTTCAAGCCGACCTATTATTTACAGATGTTTTAAAGCTAACCCTCCGCTTCTAACCACATCGATGTGTATCTATGCTCTTGTGAGGCAGGTTACATTGGTCGCACAAAGCAATCACTTTCCAGATGTAACTTAAAAGGGGAGTCCAAAGCTGTCACTAACTCAGTACAGCAGCACCTAACTAACTCTGGACACGTTGCTTCACAGGAGCCGTCCTTTAGTGTATTTTATTTATTTATTTCAACACATAGATAATGGTACAAAGAGGCACCAAATACATGTGCGCCACACAAATCTCATTCGATATGTGTGAGGGCTATGATACTGCCCGGGTGCCCAGACCGAAGCAGGTGGTTTTCTTAAGGGGCCACTCCCCGAGCCTTTGACCTAATGGTCTGATCCACAAGGCAGTGGAGCATCGTAAGGAGATGCAGTCCCATGGAAGCCGGTGACCAGCAATTGGTTCATACGCCATTTGTTCCCTCAGGATACTGGTACCCATGTGCACCATTGGTTTTGAATCCGGTTAAAGCGCCGGACATTCGCTTTTCGTCCTCTCATTTTCGTAAACAACACCCCCGCCACGAGAAGGCAGTGAGTAGGACTTCCCTGGCAGAGGCTATATACGCGCGGCCGTGTGAGAGCATTTCGAGAGTGAGAGCGGACTCTCCCCACTCTCGGCCGTACCAGGGCATTTGGGGGCTCCTTTAGTGTAATCTATATAGTCAAAAGAATTGGATCTCAGGAAGTTTGAATCAAAAACGCATGCACTGTCAAGGCTTTGGCGATCCACCAATTCAAGCTCGATCTCTGTGTGCAAAAGCTACACGTCCTACCTCCCATCCTTCCTCGCCCTTAATTCCCTTCTCCATGATGTCATTCCTAGTACTTTAGATCAGTCTTAACCTGGCTCTGTTCAGTGAGACGACTGTGCCCTTGGATTGTTTGCTAGAGGATGTTGTGATTAATTAGTTTGATAACTCCTAAAGGGTCTGTACTAAACACCTCAGGGAAATCAAGGACATACAACCAACTTTCCATTTTTCTATTGCAACAGTGGGGTTAGAAAGGGTTGCCTAATCTCACCATTTTTCCTTAACTGTTCCATCAATGAAATTCTTTATTCACCTGTGAAAAAGGTAAATAATGACAGTGGCTTACTGTGCGGTGGCACTAAGGCTATCCAGATCGAACTCGATCAGTTGACAACTAATTTCCGCAAGTAAATCATGTACCTCGCCCCTTTGAAGTTCAAGGTACCGCTCCAAGAATGCCAAGTGCTTGTGTATATGTTCAATAACTGTGGCCAACCGTTAGTAATAGTAAAATAGTTTGCATAAGTGCTAGTAATGGAATTTCCGCTGAGACCACTCTATGTATTTTGTAAGCCAGAGCGATTAGTTCCAATCCGAGCCATCTTTGATACCTTCACAATACTACTTTAGTTGTAAAAGGTTGAATGAGGACAGTTCTAATATGTGCTTGTGAAATCTAACTCCGAGTTGCAAATATGCAGCGGTTGTCAATATTTCCTAAGGATTGCTAACATTCGGTGACAATATCATGTTAATGACCTTAGGGTTTGACAATGTATGTTCGCTAAAGTGTCAGTAGTTCAGTCAATTTTGACATCTTGAAACATCAACTTCGGGAGTTTAGTAATAGTTTATGAATGTCATCTCAGCGGTTCACACATTATACATTATTCGTTGACACTGAGATTGGTTGACAAAGGCAAAGTGGTGGTCGGCTTATGTTAGCGTTATTATACGAGGCAGCTAAACAGGACTGGTGTCTGCCAGTCCATCACGACTTCTTAGTTGGGATCCTAGACACAACTTTACTCAGTGGCCTGAGACGTTATCAGACACTACTCAGTGCAAAATCCACTTGGGATCCAGCTGTAATTTCCTTTTGGGTTCATAAAAATATGAGGAATTCCCCTAAATAAAAGAAGTCTTTCTTAGTTGTATTTTTAATTAAACTATACCTCTTAATAAATGGTAATTTGTTTCATACCATTGACATTGATTTTACTAGCATTCCCTTTATTTCTTCGCGATATTATCACTATTTATGTGGCCCATACCTTTTTACTGCCCTATTTATCAGGATTTTTACGCTGTAAATAAACAAATGAAAACAATGGCAATGATGTAGTAACTCAACTATCGGCTTTAAAATTATGTCTTTAGATTCTACTTTACTCAAATTTAGTAGGATGGATATTTTTCTCCATTAACTAGTCAGCATTTCTTAGTTTCTTAAGCGCTTAGATGTTTGTGGTTACTCTGGTTTGATTTTCCCCACTTTTCGCCCTGTAGTTTTACTGAATTGTCCCCCTGCTTTTCTGCTAACTTTTTGAACAGTTAACTGATTTCACCTAAAGTTCCATTATTATAGTCTTTGAAATCGACGCATCTCAGACTCAAAAGGAAGAAGCTATATGGTAATTAAGTCAAATGTAGAGTGTGGTGCTGTATAGAGAACCAGTGACTCAGTTCCAAACAGTTACAGTTAATAGTAAGTGATTATATTATCAGTTAGCCCAATATTGGAGTGGGTCTCATATTAATTCAGACAACCATTTGTTAGCGTTAAAAATGTAAAACAATGATGTATAAAGCCAACATAGTTTTACGAAGTTTGGTGGAATGTTTGATACACGTCACATATAGTACACATATTTTTGAGTTGTAGCTTTCTATCTCAGCGTTTTGCCTCATGTTTTTTTCTTTTGATTATCTCATTATACACAGGTTCTATTTGATCAGAAAGTTACAGTCCCAGGAAGCTTCTCTGCAAAAGGCGGTGGTTGTGCAGTTGCATGCAGTTATAAAGCGTCTGTTGGTTTGTTGTATCCATTAGAGAGAGGTTTTACATTCGTTCCTCGTCCTCCAATTTCTATACGTTTCGATGAAATAGTAGCTGTACAATTTTCCCGTGGGACGGGTGCTCAAAGGTCTTTTGATTTTGAGGTACGTTGACTATCATATTCAAATCCAGTTGTTTGGCCAGTTAAAAAAACACAACAGACAGTCTGCTTCGATATTTGTTAGAAATATATATATATATATATATATATATATATATATATATATATATATATATATGACAGAACTAAAATGTAGGAATTATTTTTTACTTGAAAAACACTTGGTCAACCTAATGCACAAACTTCTCATGGCGGGTTGTTATCATTATTATTTCACGTACAACAACGTGCACAAAACACGAGATACCTTCCATAGGTATCTAAACATTCATAGCTAATTCAGTTGTCATTATATCATTACACCACCATACTTTTCGACAGTCAATAATTTACTAACCTCAAAATAGTTCCCTTATTTGAATGCTAAAAGTAACCTGTCATTCGGTCAGTCATTCAGCTACAACGTAGAAACAGGCACATATGTGCATCGGTCCACGTTGCCATACCTCAGTAGCACAAGAAGATGAACACCAAATTGATAGAAGTAGTCACTTCAATAGTGGTAATGTGTAAAAGAAAGATTGCATATAAGGACATAGTACGGGAAGAAAGAATTAGTTCATAGAAAGAAAGATACAAAGCGATTTTAATCTCATAGTTTAAAGGAAGACAAAGTGTATATACCTACTCGATTGTGATCGGTTCTAGGCCATGTCACCTAGTTTCCAACCATTGGTTATGATAGTCATGCGGACCCCAATCAAGTAGTCTGCATCTACCAACATGGCTCAGACTAGAAGTTAGTGACTTCAAGCACTAATGCCACGTTTTGGTTTGGCTGCACCTAATTTTCTGCCAACCGTCCCCAACACTAATCTTCCTGGGTTACATTAGTGGGTATTATTGTCACAATATTGTGTGTCGGTCGAGATTCTATCGAGTCCATCATAAATCTTATAGGCCTAATTGTTCCTTAACTAGCAATTACCGTAGACCCTTAACGAATTCAATCTAAAGATATAAAAATGCTTTTATATTCTGCTGTGTTGACTTTCTTATCTATGATTACTAAACTTCGAGTATATCACTAAACCTAATCGAACGTTTTAGGAAAGAAAATGATTAGTTTGCGAAAATTATCCGTACAATCAACCAAGTAGTTTATCCGAAAGTTGGTTTTGATCCATTCTTCGAAAACGCGTCTCATTAAAAGAATCGATTTAATCAAGATATTTCACTAGAGTTTAATTTTTATGTTTCTTCAAAAAAATCAAAGGTCTTGATATACTTTTTCCATTTATAGGTGGAAACTCGTAATGGTTTAACGCATACATTCACTTCTATCGAAAGAGATGAATATCATCATTTGTACGATTTTGTAACTGCTAAAAAACTTCGTGTTAAAAATATCAGTTCAGAAAACAAAACTACTAATCCTGGTGATGACGTTTGGTCATCATCTGATGAATCACATGATGCTTACATGGAGAAGGTAAAGACAGAAGCTCGAGAACGAACAACTGAAATGGATGATGAAGATGACGACGATGAAGATGATGAAGATTTCAAACCACCGGAATCTGATGGTTCTGAACTTGCAGAAGAATATGATAGTAATGTTCAAACAACAACAAGTGAAGATGAATCTGGAGACAACGATGATGATGATGATTCGGAGGAGAACAAAAGTAACACTAGTAGTAAGAATACTACTACACACAAGAAAAAAGATAAACGAGACAATGACAGTGATGGATATGAAGACAGCTTGTCAAGTGTAAGCAGTACTAGTGAACCTAAACCAAAACAAAAAAAATTGAAAGAAGAACCAAAGAAATCAACAACTAAACCCCGTAAAGATGAAACAAAACGACAAACAACAAAAAAGCAAAAAAAACCTAAAGATCCTAATGCACCAACTCGTCCACTTTCTGCTTATTTCTTATGGTTTAATGAGAATAGAGAGAAAATTGCAAAAAGTTTAGATGGACAAAATTCTGTTGCTGAAGTAGCTAAAGCTGCTGGAGAGATTTGGCGAAATATGGATAGTACAGTAAAATCAGGTTATCAATCAAGAGTTGATGAATTAAAAAAGAAATACCAAGAAGATTTACGTATATATCAATCAAATTTAGCGTCTTCTAAAGAACCAGATTTATCACCAGATTCTAGTAGTTAAGTCCAGAAATAATTAATTAATTCTTGTGAAATAAAATATCAACTTATTATTGTTTTAATATACTATGTACACTATATATATATATTCACCATTTCTAATTATTTTGTTATTAGACTGAATTAATCAATTTCCTTTATGTTTTATATAGAGATATCCCGGTACTGTCCGTAAAAGAATTGACAATCATTTGGTTATATTGGATACAGAGCCTGATACTATTGTTACGGAAAAAAATGTTTTTTGTATACTCAGCATACAATAGGATAATACTATGACTTGAAACGTTATATCCATCTATAGAATTCACGATCAATAACTGAAAATTAGCTAACAGACCAGAAAATCATCTTTTCAAAATAGATGCTAGCAATTCACACAGAGTTTAGTCCACAGTTAAGTCAGTAGAACTAAATCATAGAAAGGAATCCACAACGCTGAATAGTATCACAACATTTAGAAAAAGTCGATGCCTTTTGTTTTCATTTAGTGCCCAGTCACATCTTACTTTCGCTGTTCACACATCAGGTAAACATCGTACGTCTCCCAAAAACACCAAATAAGATCAGCATAGTAAAAACAAATTACCAAGATGAATAGCGAAGTAGTCGAAATAACATACCACCAATAATAGTGAGCAGGACTAAATAGTAAAGAATAGAGTTCAAAAACTAACAATAAAAACGTGTGCATGAAGGAATACTGGGACTTAATATTTAGAGGGACATAGAAGTAAATGCATCTATTGCACTGAACAATGTCATACGACGTTTCCAACTACCGACTCCGCCCAAACCAGCTGGTCTACATCTACTAACATGACTTCAATAGTTAATGAGTGCATGGATTGATGCTATGTCTCGGTTTGGCCATTCCCAGTTTCTTTTTACCCTACTCCTACCCCAGTTAATAACGCTCCTCAAGGTAGGATTTAGTTGAGTGTACGTAACACGCAATGACTCACAACCTCACCAGTCTATCTACCATACGCTGGTAGACTTATAAAAAAATAATAGAATTATCTCTTGTAAAAACTGAATAAAATCCTATTTTCGTGTTTATTCAAGTTCTTTTGGCCTATATCTTATTCCCATACCTTGCGATTAGTGGGTGAGTGAAATGGTACAGAGCTCGTTGTAGATGCATTCATTCTTTATCTACCTCTGGACAGTGTCGGTATCCGTTCATACATACGTTTTCATTATTACTTCTCAGACCGTGTTCTTCACTTGCTCACTTTAATTGATACTGCTACTATTGTTGTAACTCAGAGAATGTTAGGAAAGTGGTGACTTTTGGAACTACTTCCCGGATAATTGTTATCTAGATTTTTATTGTACAATTAATAAATAACTGTCATTTTATTTCTGCACTCCCCGTATTGTAAACTCCCGTTGGACTCATCACTTATTGCTATACATTTTACTATCCCTTAATTACTGTGAGTTAATTATTCACCTTTTGTTCCGTTCTCCGCCAGTTATGTATAAACTACAACTTCCCATTTGATTTGTATGGTGCTCTGATTATTCATGAGTGCTTAGGTTAATGACTGATTGACTTAACAAGGATAGGAGCTTGGCTGTTGCTATGTTCTTTTGTGGACTGAATACTTGGACCGGGACGAGTTAAATTATCTCGGCCATAGCCCAAGGTTAATCACTCAATCAAGGCGTCTTTGGCCATCCAGATTCAGAACAATAAATGGTATCTATAAGTCATTTAAGAAAACTAAAGCATTCAGATGATTATCTCGACTCCACTTCTATTCACCTTGTTAGTTTCTTCTCGCTGTAGTGATATGGTAAGGCAACTTGATCTGGCGCATATTTATGCCAGACTCTATGTTGAATCTGAATAACTGTTATCGTTAGGAATATAAATCTAGGTAATGGATATTTTATTGATGGGTAAGAATCTGTAGATAACTAAATATTTCCACATAAATCAACTTTACGAAAAAATTCATTGTCGAAGTAATTTCAATTTGGAGGGTTTGTCAATCTAGCTTCGAAATAACATTTTTTTAAAGCTTTTGTGTAGAACTAAGTATTTGAAAAAGAATTTCGGTTTCTATATGGTTGATATGGTCGATAGTAGGGTAGATATACGTAATCTTAATTATATGCCAAGCTTGATCAATGATTGAAAGCTATAGATGAGATGGATCAAAATTGATCTCAGTGGTGTACAATTTATAACTTTCTAATCAAGAGATGATAACATAAACGAGCAACATATTATTCATTAATCAACAACAGTAAAATCAGTGGTTTGTACAGTTTATATTTTCTGTGGAAAAAACAGAACAAACTAGAACGTTAATTTTTACGATTAAATTGTCGTGTAGATTAACTTTCACATTTCAAAAGATTATGTATAACATTTAAGTATCAATATTTTAAACTTGGCAAAAGTTACCCACTATTCAAAGGAACTGTTAGCGGGCATAGACTGGATTAAAGCATGCTCAATGCACGACTGCTTTGGTGCACGCTGATTGGCTAATTTTTATCCAATCAGCACTAGTCGATACTTGAAGAATACTCTAGAATCTTCTCATGTAAAAACTATAAATATACTAACGTTTTCCCTATTGTGCTTGCTTGCTTCTAATTTCCATCTAACCTTGTTATATAGAATATAATCTTCCTGTTCAACCGTGTTCTGATTTGGGGACTTATCGAGTGAATCGGTGTCCAAAAATACTAAGCAATAGGAATAGCTGGGTTATAACCGTAAGAGAGAAATATAACAGGAACTAAATAATTACATCCTGAATTTCTGATTACTCAATAAAAAAAGTCTTGATATGTTTAGCTTATCTTTGAAAATACATTTTTATTATTGCACATGTAGTCAAATATTAATTCAACTGACTGAAAGATACTTCAAGAATAAATCAGTCATATAACTAAATAATATTGAAAATAGAAGAAAAATAACACAGTTGTCTTTATGGTAAAATAACCATTGAATACTAACATATTCATTCAAATAAATAACATGTATCAAAATTAAAACAACAGATGACGTAACATCTTTCCTTTCACCACCACCACCACCCCCCGCAGTCATATACACAAAGTCAACAAAAATCAGATTGGTCATTGAAACCAAAAGAAAAAACGCGGGAACTATTCAACACACTGTACAAATGATTTAAGACCATACATTGTGAATAATAAATTGTCATATATAAAGAAGAACATATTACAAACAATATTTTTCATATATTGAACAGATAATTGAAATAAGATGAATTGTGAAGAGAATTAATTGACCGATTGATAATGATGTTAAATAGGCTAAATTGACTTATAACGTATACAACATAATAAGTAATATTGAAAGAAGATTAAAATAAAAACAAACATATAGGTCACTCTATACAATGGATCTATAATATGAGTTATTTAGGGAGTAAGTTGTAACAGAATATATGAAATCATATTGATCACAGTTAATATAGACTATTATTTGTTAAACTAATGATAAGTTTAATTGTATATAACAATACAATCCAAGAAATCAGATCAAAACGATTCAATTGCAAATAGACCCTGAGAGTTATTCATGAACATGTAAGTAATACATTTCATATCATTTAGTTTTTAAGTTATCTATAAGGTTTATACATGTCATAATGTAGTCCAAGGAAGTTCTTTCCATAATAGTTAGAATATTAGTAAGTAATATATTATAATAAATACTAGACAAAGTCAAATCAGGGAATGACAGTGAAGAGAGCAAGCAGAATAAACAGATAATGAGATTGTATCTGGAGAACTACGAAAGCCATCATCCAGAAGATACAGGTGTTTATTAACAGTTGTCTACGCAAAATACTTCGGATCCGTTGGCCGGACACTATTAGCAACAACCAACTGTGAGAAAAAAATACCAGATCCCAACGGAGGAAGAAATTAGGAAGAAGCGCTGCAAGTGGATAGGACACATATTGAGGAAAGCACCCAACTGCGTCACAAGACAAGCCCCCACATGGAATCCTCGAGGCCAAAGGAAAAGAGGAAGACCAAAGAACACATTACGCCGGGAAATGGAAATAGACATGAGAAAAATGAACAAGAATTGGATGGAACTAGAAAAGAAGACCCAGGACAGAGTGGGCTGGAGAATGCTGGTCAGCGGCATATGCTCCATTAGGAGTAACAGGTGTAAGTAAGTAACTGGAGAATTAATCTATACACTCAACAGCAAAACTGTGAACAAATTTTAAATATTCCTCTAATTAATATAAATTTATATAATAAGACTGTATCACTAAACACATATACATTGGATGAATTTCATATTTTCTTGACATAAACTAGAAGTAGAATCTTTAAGAAAAACAATTTTTCTAAGCAAATATTCTTCTCGTTAGTAAAGTATACATTTTATCTATACAGATGATTTATGCGAACGACATATTCGTCCACATTTTAATGGGCATAAATCTTTTTCATAAATAGCTTCCCAATGTGCATGATATGGTCGAAATAAGTGACAAAGAAATGCTTCTAATACTGTATGTACGAATCTACGATTGAAACGTTCTTCTTGAAGCATATTAAATACACAGGATACACCACGACGAGTAGTTTCATTACCAAGAAATTGTGCAAATTCCTCTAGAAAATTTTATAATATTAATGAATTAGAAATACAGTAGTAAAATGATTGAAAATGAAAATCACATTGAGTCACAAATCAACTGTAATTGAAATCTAACTAAATCAATGGTACTATGCTTGAGATAAAGCTTAAATATCTTAAGTTAGATTATGCATGAAGTTGAGAATGTAAACACAACAGACTATTTAACATACTCCAGTTTTCAATGATTCTACGGATGATGCTAGTGGATTTTGAAATTTTATAGAACAATTCAAAATGTGAGATTTAACACATGATAATGTACATTAGAGAATGTTGGATATTTATACCTGAAGGCTGATAAACAGAAGCCGTTTTTAATCATGAATAAGGTTATCACGAACCTTGTTAAAGGTGATGTATGGGCAATCTCTACTTCTCTGTTGCATACACTGAGAAAGAATACTCTTTCTTCAAGTGCCTAAAAAGAAATTACGTTAGTAGTAGTGGTCTACGTGACATAGGAGCGTGACCGAAGTACTCAATCTATAGTGATTTAGAAAGAATCGGCAACAGATGGAAAAATAGATAACATAAAGGATATAAATGGGAAGAATATGAAAATATTTGAAGGTCCTCGTAGAATATTTGAAAACAAAAAATACTGCAACCAACTTTAAAAAAAAATAACATTACCAAAGTAATTAAAATAAAATCATATGTGAATCAAGAATGGGACAATAAGAAGATAAACGTAAAGTGAAGCACAATGGGAAAGGTAAGGGTTTACAACATCTGGTTAGTGATTCAATAGTGAACCAAAGTAAACACAGTGGTTGAAAATACCTCTTTTGGAAATTGAAGTTAGATCTTTTGGACTTGATTCCAAAGCCTTACATTACGTAAGATAAATCGTAATCCCGCTTCTCTAAGTAGCCTGTTCAGGACTCGATACAGGGTTGAGAAAGCTTCACCCATTTAACGTGATATTTGTTATCTATCAAATTAGAAAGTTTGGTTTTGTTAATAGATTTTGTAAATCCTTTACTTAAATCATGTTCTAGAGCACTCAAAATTGAAATCTGAGTACGGCTACGTAAACCATTGCATAGGAGCAGGTGACTTAGTATACACACCTGCAGAATCTCATCAATAATATCTTATCCTTGATTTGTTGTCTACGTACAGGTCTCATGGAGAGGGTCGCTAGCATGCTTTGATTATTATAACTGTAGAGCCTGATAATAAAGTTATATAAAAAACCGTTCAGTTGGGGGGTTAACACATAGCACACAGTGTATTGGTATCAGAATTCGAACACCGCACCTCACAGCAACAATCATCACTGAATACTTGTCATTATCAGTTAGCAATACTTATCTATACATTTATATAGATTGGGTAAATATGCGCTGTAATTTTAGCTTTTGCATCAGAATTACAACAAATATCAACGTCGATTTATGGTCTCCATCTTGATCTGAGAACAGTTAAGAGGTCTAAAATTATTAATGATGCTCCAAAAAAGAGAACGTTCAGATGCAGTCAGTCACACTAGAGGGACATTTTAATGCATAAGTTCGAAGGTTGAACAAAGTAGACAAATGTTGACCGTACATTTACAACTATGTGAATACTCAGAACAAAAAGAGAACAGACATTTCACCTACCAGAAACACTTCCCAGTAGTACAGTTCTACAAAGAACACGAGTACGTAATTTCATCTCTTTGTCACGTTCAGTTAAAGCTGTAGAATTTAATGATTTATTTTTGGGAGGCCAAAAATAATCACGTAAATAAGTAATCAGTTGTGTGATTTTCGGTGCACTTGTCCATTCACAAGCCTTTTTTAAAACAACAAAAATATTGAGTAGTGGAAAAGATAAGCAACTTTGTTTTCCTGTATAAATTGACATAAAAATTATTCATATCAATATTCTTAACAGATGAATAATGGCTAACAGTGGAATCAAAGACGATTGTTTCGTCCTATCTATAACTCGTTAACTGGATGTATCGATACTCATGTGTCGACAAAGGAATTATCCAAACCCATACCAATAATGATGTAATCAATTATTATTATAATTGTTAATGGCTTTATTCAATATTATATTTTTGGTACAGTATAGAATTATCAGCACAAAGTATTTCAACAAGTCTACTTTTCTTATTTCTTGAGCCTTTATTTGTACAGAAATCGGTTCAGTGTTGAAAGTACACGATTTTTGATCACTGGGTCGTATATTTGAGACTCATTCACTACTCTACATTGATTAGAACACTTATGAGGGTAATGTTTAACAATAACTCATATAAAGTGGAACATAAAGCAAAATATTGGAATATGTACGCCCCTAAATGCCCTGGTACGACCGAGGGTGGGGAGACTCAGCTCTCCCTCTCGAAATGCTCTCACATGGTCACGCGCATACAGCCACTGACAGGGAAGTCCTACTCACGGCTTTCTCGCGGCATTACTGTTATTTACGAAATTAAGAGGACGAAAAGCGAAACTCAAGTGCTTTAACCTGGTTGGTGGAAACGTAGGGTCCACCTAGGGGAGTTGGAAAACCGTCATTCCAAACCAATAGTGCACATGAACTCCAGGATCCTGAGGGAACAAATGGCGTATGAACTAATCGTTGTTCGCCGGCTGCCATGGGACTGCATTTCCTAACGTTGCTCCACTGGCTTGTGGACTAGACCTTTAGGTAGAAGGCTCCAGGTGTGGCCCACTAAGAAAATCAATTGCTTCGGTTTGGGCACCCGGGTGGTATCACATCCCACGCACAAATCAAATGAGATTTGTGTGGCGCATATATATTTAATGCCTTCTTGTACCAATTTTTATGTGTTCAAACAATAAATAACTGAACTACAATAAAATTTTGTTGTTTTAAATCTTACACTAACCATAAAAAGCCTATCTGCTGCAGTGTGCATAGTTTATCAGTATACACACGTAATAACGATATCTCATAGCTGATTATTCACCAGCCTAAATTATAACAGCCATTGTGCATAAGTAATATGATAAGATATCTAAACAGTACGATAAAGATCAGCCCCGAAACGAGAGCACATGCGTATGTTACAACTCACTTTAGCAATGATCATTTTATTGACTCGAATACCAAAAAATGTTTGGAATATTTTGCGTAAAATAGCGAAATTTCCTTGTCTAGTAAATTGACTTTCTCTATGTAAATCAAATATTTCATCGACTAATAAGAATAAAATTCGAATTGGTGTTTCATCTCGAACATTCTACAAAAAGTATTAAAACAAAATAACCAAACAAGAAAATTTCAAGAAGTTCAGTGAATGCGAATATGTGGGGTAAACATGAGTCAATGATACGGAAATGGATATTTTTGTTGAAACGGAACAAAGTTAAGATGATTTATAATCATACATAGAATACAAACTGCACAACATATTGTCACGATAAAAAAATGCGGATTTATATTTCTAATCCTATTATCACTTGATGAAGCATATGATATACATCACTATCTAAGTAGAACAGTCGACACTAAAATCTAATGTTTAATCAAATGATCAAGAGCTAGATATAGGTCAGAATATAGGAGTACATGAACACACACAGTACGGAGCAGTCAAAAAATGGACTCAAAATGGAACAAAACTGGAATCAGCTTTATACATAAGTTATTCTATTATATTCAGTGTCCTTGGACATATTAGCCAGTCATGGTTTACTTCGATCAACACATAACATATGACAAATTAAAATGGTTGATAAATTTTTTTGAGAAAAAGTATTGAATTAGTTACCGTCATAATTCACTAATCGAATGTTGTGTACTTGATCTAGGTTTACAAAACACAGCTATTCTAAATGATGGCTTATGTCGATGAGGGAGAAGGGAATCTCAATCCTAAGACAGTCGCATTTCTTTTGAAATCTTATTGTCCACTTTTAGTCCATCAATTTTTTCAAACACAGTTCCTACGTAAGTTTTGTTAACTCATTGATTTAGTACAATTGAATTCTGGTTAGCAGTAAAATACAGGATATGTATTCTGTTCTATCTAGGACACATCAATTAAATCTCAGTGTTCACACATGGACGTGAACCCAATATGTTTCGCTTCAACGAAGACTCATCAAATACAGTTCTTAACATTAACAGTAAGAACGATGAAAGCTCCACGACCAAAATATCCAAATCAGAAAACAAAACTCCATCAAAATCATCCACCTGAGCTACAAATCTTCTCCACCATCTCACTAACGGTAGGAATACTTAGACTCTTTATTACATATTTAACTGCTGACGTTTTTCTATCTGATAAAGTCATGTGCTATTTTCGAACTTGCAGTAATGCTGTGGTGTTACTGTTAATCATTAATTTAAAAGGCACAGATCAGGCATTAGAGTTATCGTTCGGAAATGTGATTTAAAACTATAACACTTCATTGTTAGACTTCCCCAAGTCGATTGTTTATTCAATTATTATTTTTATGATAATAACGCAGTTCTAGACAAATTGCCTTTTAGTTTTTAGGTAGCTTAATATTTGAATTAGAATTCTTGTATAGATTCTACACGAATAACGGAATCTTACAACTAGGACAAATGGGGACACTTTAATTATAAATCAAACATTCACTCTATTTTATATAGTTCTGTTCAATTTTTGATTGAGAAGAAAACATCGCATTCGACAATTAGTGTGAAGTACAGTTAATTAAATCACTTTCATTCACGTAACAATCAAGTCAAACACTTTGTGAATGAAAGGAAACTGAATACTAGTCGAGGAGCCCAGTCACATAACTGTAGAGTTGTAGACTAAAAATTTGATGACGACTTATGGTTCGAAACTTGCGGCGACATAACACAAACATATATATATATATGGAAAATTATAGAAAATTAGTATAAACAAACTCTATACTTACATAATCATATGAATCAGAACTCTTTGATGATTCTAATGACATATCCAATGATTCTTGTAATTCAAATTCACTGGATTTTTTCATCATTTCATCATTACGAGAAAGAATAGGTGAATTAGATGTTGGAAAATTTTTATTTGCGAATATCTTATTTAAACCATCAGCTAATGTATCTGGAACAGACATCATAGCATTGCTAACTGTACGAAAAGGTGTTAAAATTGCAGAGACCTATGACAAATAATTAAACAGAATTTATTTTCTTGTATCGCAAGATAAAATGAGAAAATAATGTTTATCTGAACATTGAAGGAAGTATACATACATATAATTCAACTTTTTAATAATAATAACAGAATGTATGATTTCAAGATGCTATTATAACCATTATCATCGCTAATCAGTTTGATTCTCTCTTAAGAAAATAACACAACTCAGTGATAACCTAGTAGAAGTTTGTGAATTAGATTTTTATCTGTGATTACTAATAATAAAAACCGCCTGCCTAAACGGGTGGTGGAACTAAGTTGTACCTGCAGATTAAGCAAACAAAACTGAAGTGTTTCAACTGCTAAACTATTAATCCTGTTTCTAAAGTATTCATTCATTTCTGTTGGCGCTTATTATTTACCAGTATAATGAGTTTGTTTGTTTTAATACCAAACTTAGTTAAGCAACCATTGAGAACCATGAAGTTAGAAATGCAAATTACTGGGAGCCGATTTAATGGTCTAGAGGTCAAGCGCTAGCTGCGATATGAAGGTCCTAGGTTCGATCCCCAGTCGGATTGCGGATTCCCTTGCTGGGAAAAGTCCAGTGCTTCCTAGTTTGCAATGGCTGTTCAAATAAGGTTACTCTAAGAAGTGAACTATGGGGTTAATGTGATAATTAAAAGTATTTGAATTATTGTACAAATTAGGAATTCGCGAAGTAGGTCCTGGGTTCGAATCCCGCGTGGGTGCGCACTGCTAAAGAGCCCCGTACTAGGACGAAACGGCCGTCCAGTGTTTCCAGGTTCTCCATGATGGTCTAGCTTCAATTGACTCATGATTTCAACCTATGAAATTTCTAAAAAAAAATCTCAACAAAACCCATTCTGAAATTAGGAATTCCTGAAATATCACAATCTATGTAGACAGAACTAGGTGAGTACTAACGAACGTATTGTATTTGGAATTCAAAATCAAGCATTCATCAAGTACAAAGGAATCATTAGTTCATACAAACACCATAGCTAAGTTCTAAGTTTTAAGCCACTATCGTGCTATAATTTGTATAAACAGTTTGTAATCTTAAATAGAGCAAGAACAAAGATTGGTGCAGAATAATATGAATTTATATTATTCTGCACCAATCTTTGTTCTTGCTCTATTTAAGATAATAAAGGGAACTATGTGTATGAAGTTTGTAATCTATTAGTTTGGAAGTTTATAAAGTGGTGAGTTGCATAACTGGTAACACGGAAGATTTTGCTTCTAATCTTACTGTCTAAGACAAATTTATTTAGCGTGTTAACAACCAACCTAATATATTTACAGATATATATATACCATGCAAAGTAATTACAATAAATTTTAAGAACTTACAATACGTGCTTCAACATGACCTCTTTCCCAGCTATCAGGCTGTAGAAATTCAACGCACAAAGGACGACTACCTGGATGATTATTCTGAAATTCACTGCTACATAATGTCTATTATTAATAAATAAATATTAATAAAAATAATAGAAAATTAGCAATATATTGTTATATTTTTTTAACATTGCGTGGTATTTTAGGTTTAGTGTTCATCGTATCCTTACAAATAGCAGAGTTTCCTAATGTGAATCAGCTTAAGCATTATCGAAATGGATAAATCAAAAAAATTAAAATGAGTACATTGAACGAAACTATCTAACCAGACTATTGCTACAGTCTTGTCATTCATTGCACAAACAGATGTCATGTATGTTTAACAATCGTCTACATCAGTGTGGGATGCTGTCTGGTGTAATAAATTGGAAGAAAGTTAGAGGCGGTTAAATTAAAACGTAGCATCACCCTATAAAGTTAGTGAATTTTGGTCTAATACAAGTTAGTAGCTGTAGGCTACCCGGTTGGGATTCGCACTAATAACTTCACTAATGGTTGGAGACTACAAGTGAAATGGCTCAGAATCAGTCGGAATAACGTGAATGCATTCACTTTTTTGTCATTTCTTAATTTTTGAGTTTCAAAATCATATTAATTTATTATCTCCTTTCAACTCATCGTGCCTGTGTCGAAATTTTACTACTACTATTGATACTCTTACTAGTTCTATTACTCTGATATTTGTTTTGATAATTTATGTCTATATACAATGGGGCGACTTAAACCAAAGGATGTGTCAGGTTTTACACTGCTTATGATTAACACGAACTAGGCAAACAAGTAAATCGACTTAATATTCAACTGTGATATCAATAAAAGGTCATTATATACAAAAGTATTCATTTAATAAATTAAGGATTATCTAACTGTTATCACAACTCAATTGAAGAATAAATAATTGGAGTAGCTGGGGAGGTTGAAATGTAACGATGAAACAGATTTAGAAATTGGAAATAAATATTATAGGAGACATAAACAGTGGACGACTAACTGAATTGTATCTAAGGCAGTAAATTTGTCATTTAGGTATTTTCTGGAACGAACAATCGGACGATTCTAATAGGTATACGATTAACTCACACCATTAGATACTCAGCCAGTGACTAATCAATTAAATATCAATGCAACTCAAATCAAGGATATGTTATCCAACTAACTAGCACGTATATTATTGATCAACATGACAAATACAGTGAATAGAAAAATATAAATGACAAATCAGATATCTGCCTGATCATCTTTCAAACTGTCTGGAAACAACAACCAATCACCATTTATTTCTGACTATCCAACACCGACATATTAGTAGATTCGGTACTTGAACGAATACTAAATAGCACGAAACATAGGTCCAGGGTATCCTGTTGACTACCCCTAACCGCCATCCTACCACAAGTTTTCTTCATTATTATACAGTTTTTATTATCATGAACTTCATGTCTGTAGTTTTGCTTCACATCTGTCAATCATCCTTAGATTCTTTTCTTACCCCTTGATTAGTGCGTAACCTCATTTGATATTTAGTCTCGAATAAATTTATGAAATATATTATCCATATAACTATATATAGATGTACAGCTTAAGTAAATGATTTCGTTGAAAACAAAAATTTTCTTCTCTGAATTCTCTTTATTTTGATTGGCAAATATATCGAAAATGTATAAAACTATAAAGTACCACTATAACTATGTTTCGTTCTCTTGATGAAACGATGTTTTCCATTTTACAAAAGGATAAAAATTAGTTCATAATGTATGTGTACTACGTTACTAAATTGGAATTGAACTATTTCCATCTTTTACCTTATATATTTGAGTGGTTATGCATTATCGTAATGCTGGATTATATATTTGATTGTAGAACTGTAATTAATGTATTTGATTTGCTTTTCTAGTGAATTAGTTCAAAACACCCAACTCTTAGCAGTTAAAATTTATTAGGATTACATAAAGCTAAACTTACATTCAAATAAACATTAAGTCCACGTCGACGTTGTGCTAAAAATTCAGGGCTCATGTTATTAAATGCAATTTTCGATGGTAATTTGAGTTCAGTGATACGACCACACTAAAAAAAATTGATAAAATTTTATGGTAAGAGTATAAGTTTTCCTTGCATAATGTTTAACAATGATATAGAGAACAATGTTTAAATTATATTAGTCCATTTAATAAGTGTACAGGTTCGTATACTTAACTTTGAGTCATACTCGGAGTACGTAAGATATAATGATACTATTAATCGGTGCCTTAAACAGAAGTAGACAGAACAAGTTTCTGAAAGTTAAAAAACTGAACCATTGCATTATCGCTCCATAAATCAACGATAAACAATTTAGTTTTTGTTATAACGCTCGGTCCCAGTGTCTGCTCTATAGGACTCCAATACAACTCAGGTGAAGAACGCGTAATTAGCCTGACTAGAACGTAAATATAATTCCACACCCAAAAACCGACAACAATCACAGTAATTATAAGGGTGAGGGAATATATAACTAATCTAGTACCTGCTAGACTACTAGTCTGACTAAAACAATCAATGATTATCATCCTCTCCCACATATCAGTTTTGTAAATTTGGAAAGAAAAATCCCAAGTTTTAATAACAACCATCGACAAGTGGCAACTCAATGGCTAAATCATTCGAATTTCAACCATTGGGTTTCAGATCTAAACACGAACCATAATACCTACCTCAATACACAATTTTCAGTCAGTCAGTCAGTAACAACGTAGAACTTCGTACGTATGTACATCAATTCGAGATGCCACACCACATTAGCACAGAGATGCAGTGGTCGATTCAAATCCCGTAGTGGTCGAGGTAGTAAGAGTATCAGCAGTAATCGGAAAGATTCGGGTTTGAAGATGTTATTTAAACAGTATAATCCAGTGAAACAAATTTGGAAAGAGAAAAAAGAAAGACATGAAGAATTCAGAAGATTAGAATTTGGGAGGACACAAAGAGTGGATGCACCTGCGCCAATGCAAACGAGTCATATCATTCAAGGTCTCTAACCATCGGTTGCTATCATCTCACGGTCCCCAACCAGATAGTCTACACCTACCAACATGACTCAGTTCACTTGTCAGTGACTTCATGAATTTCTGCCATCTTTTGGTTTGGTCGACCCTAGCTTTCTTCCAACCCACTCCTACATCATAAAACATCACACGTCGGGGCAGTCGGTGGTTGGGCATACGTAACACGTGTTCGAGCCATCTCAACTGATGAATTTTCACTACTTCATCAATTGATTTGCCATCCTTACCTAGTACCCGTTTCCTAACAACTGCATTACTTACTCCATGGTCCCATGATATACGAGTAGTGTTTCGAAGACACCTATGATCAAATACTAGTAACCTACGAATATCCTCTACTCTTATCGACCATGTTTCATTGCCATAAAGTAGGACGGAACGAACTGCTGCGCAGTAAACACGTCCTTTGGTTGGTAGACGGATATCTCGCCTACACCATAAATGACGTAAGTTGGCAAAAGCTAGTCGAGCCTTCTGTATCCGTGCTGAGATTTCGTCACACACCATACCACAAGAGCTGATGAGACTCCCAAGATAAGTGAAGAATACACGAAGTTAGTTATTATTTGTGAACTGTTAAATTAAAATCAAATATCTGCTCAACATTAAGTGGTACACTTAGAGTGCATAAACAATAAATGTTGTTTCGAGTGAATACTTAACTGACTTGATACATACTCCTGAATATCAAGAATTCGATTACTTAAGTAAAAACATGAAGATGATTGATGAGGATATATTTGACTTCAAAAATAAATTAAAAATTATATTTGAATAAAGTAATTCATAGTCAGGTTTGTATTAGATTAAACTGAGTAGTATATAACATTAATTAATGTATAATTTATTGAATAAATATTAACGAGAGCAAGAACAAAGATTGGTGCAGAATAATATGATGAATGATGGGAACCTAACGAAATAAAATGCATTCATATTATTCTTCACTAATCTTCATTCTTGCTCTCTTTAAGATAATAAAGGGAACTATATGTATGAATAAATATTCATTGTTGTTTACCAAAAGATATATGGCTATGTTTACTAATTGAAAATGTGATTACATATTAATAGATATTAAGGAACACAAATCATTATTGAATGTATAACGTATTTGAATTATGACTTTAGTCACTAATCACAAAAACAAACAATAAAACAATAATCAGAAGGGGTTTTGTGAAGATTTTAGTAATTTCAATACTTGAAATCACGAGTCATTTGAAGCTAGACCATCATGGAAAACCTGGAAACACTGGACGACCGTTTCGTCCTAGTATGGGACTCCTCAGTAGTGCGCATATACGACCCCGCCTCGCAGGATCCGAACCCAGGACCTACCAGTCTGGCGCGCAAACGCTTAACCATTAGACCACTAAGCCGGCAGCCAACGGTGTTAATATCTAACTTCAACCAATCTAGTGAAGTTCAACCACGTCTGCTGTGATATATCAGCTCACTGAAGACAATGTTGTACGGTGGCACGATTTCGCGGATTGATTGAAGTTACACATTAACGCCGTTGGATACTGGCAGGCTCAGTGGTCTAGAGGTTAAGCGCTCGCGCACGAGACTGATATGTCCTGGTTTCGAATCTTGCGGGAGGCGGGATCGTGGGTGCGCACTGCCGAGGAGTCCTATGCTAGGACGAAACGGCCGTCCAGTGTTTCCAGGTTCTCCATGATGGTCTAGCTTCAATTGACTCATGATTTCAATAAAACAATAAATTCATTAATTTCTTTATTTTTCTATTATAACTTACTCTATTTGTAAGAAACGAGTGCAGTTCAACAAAATGTCTGAAACGACGTAAAGTATTCCAACATTCTGACTGAGCATTAGATAGTATAGTACGTGTAACTTTTATAGTATAAATTACATAAGAATCATGCATTATTTCTAGAGAGAAAAATGAATGCAAATAACTTATTTAGTTTTATGTTTATTAAGTTAAATTGGTTTATAAATGTAAAACGTATTTTAATTAAAAATTTCGGTAGAAATATGCTTTATGCATGATGATTGTAGGGATATAGATGAATATTTATTCAGCTAATTCTTTGGTTTTAAGAATAAAGAGCCTTTAATTTACCTTTAAGGCTTCATGAATCATGTCCGCTATTCTTTAGTTTTCCTATGTCTATTAGTTTTAAATGTTATCATAACTTAATTCTTATTTAGCTCTTGATTAAATACAAGCTAATCTTCATTGCATCTTGAATTTTGCGCAAAGATTCAACAATCAAAATCTTAAATATACATCTAAATGTAATAACTGAAGGGTTCAAATTGTAAATAAAGAACACTCGAGTGCTGTTAAAAGTAGTTGTCACTTCCAGGTTGCATACATCATGGAAAGACGTTTCTTGATTTGGATTAGTAGTGGTCTTAGCAACCTGGTAGCTTCACTACAATACACAAGGATAAACTCTTTAGGGCCGATCAAACAGGATTTTTATGGGTTGTTTATGATGTGTTAACCATGTACCTGCAATTCTTACTAACTATAAAGAATATCATTGGAGGAAGATGAGATGGACTAATTTTAGGGTTAACATTTTCTAACTCTATCCTTTCGTTGTGAGGAAGGATGATCACAGATGCTGGTTGTTTGAGGAAAACATCTTATTGCCGGTACAGTCGGTAGCACGATTGGACCTTAAGTTGCTGCTTTTGGACTAACTGTTCTCTAACCAACTTGTCTGACATGATAAGACTTAAATGAACATGTATTTCAGCCAATACAACTAAATTAAGTCATAGCGATATGGCATCGCGATAAACACATCCATGTAGCAGCTACAGTTAGTTATGGATGACTGTAGTATGAGGTAAATAATAATAATTATAACACAATTGAATCAACAGCTGCGTAAAAAGTCGCACGGTATAACACATAAGCTGCTAATGAACAAACACTACGTATAACCAAGACAAAGACTACCATATACATGAAATTTTAGGCTTAAATAATCTAGTTTAGTCAATAGAAACATATAAATTACCTGCCCGAGTTATGACAGCTGTGTAAGCATCATCAAAAACCCCACATCCAGTATTATTTGTTGTTGAAATGATCTTTTTTTCAAAGAAGGAAAACGAAATGTAGCAGAAAAGTTAGCAAGTTTTACAAGAATCATGTTTAGTTTCCAAATAATGAAAATATATCAGAACTCATTAAAGTATATTTTTTACTGCCAAAAATCCCACCACCTTGTACATTATAATTGTTTTATCCTCTTAATTTCGTAAATAACAGTAATGCTGCGAGAAAGCCGTGAGTAGTACTTCCCCATCAGTAGCTGTATACGCGTGGTCATGTGAGAGCATTTCAAGAGGGAGAGCTGACTCTCCCCACCCTCGGCCATACCAAGGCATTTGAGGGCTTCTAACATTGCTAACCAGTAAATCATTTAACCCAAAAAAATACTTTTAAATGATACACGACACGAGACTGAAGAAAGATAAGATGATAACCAGGTATTTGTCTATGTACTGGGTTGAAAATTACAATGTCACACGCAATGATTAAATTTTTTTACCCAAGCTATCTGTCTAACGACTATACAAACATTTAAAATATAATTTCATAAACAATTAAAACCACTTGATACGGACTAACGATGAGCTTGATTTGAAGCAGAGACAAAGTTTAAAACTTTTATTTCGACTAACGTGTATTGTGTTATTAAGTTAGTATACGAAACTTCAGAGTATTTATACTGGAAAGTGATTTATAAATGAAAAACTTTTTACGGCAACAAACTATACACATAAATCAACGAAATCACAGTCAACTTCATGACTGACATAATGAAGTAAAACTGAGAAAGAATTAGTAATCGAATGAATGATAAATTCTGTAGTTTGAATTCAGCGAATTATGTCAGTTTTCTATTTCAATCATGGAGAATATAATATGGTGAACAGATTGGTTAAAACTGCATTTATTTCTTTATTAAACATTATGCCCCGCAAACAAAACAACAATAATTCTACGTTTGAATAGATCACTCTAAATCGGTGAACGGAACGGTGGATCAGCGACACAACGACAAGACAAGCCAAACGATTATAATGCGTCCCAGCTCCGCTAACTATAGGGAGAAGTCCAGGTTTAGATAAAGGAAAGTATATTCCACAAGCAACCAGAAGCACGAACAACAACAAGCACACAACAAGTATATATATATATATATATAGAGAGAGAGAGAGCGTATATATGTCCTTGGGAAACGTTACAAAATAGCATACTAAAAGAGGCAACCAACCGATCACATGTAGGGTCCTTTCAAGTGAAAATTACAATATGGAGGAAAAAATTGAGCGCTTTTGGCGCGACGACGAGAAATTCAAATTTCAAAAATAAAATTACGAAAATAAAACATTAAGCAATTTATTTCCAGGGATCTAGTATCCCTAAGAAATAATTTTTAATGATCATCTTCATTATTGATTGGCATCATAGAGGTGCAGCCATTAACAACCGAAAAACAATCAACAACTGTTAAGTTCTGAAGCTCAGTATCCGTTAGCACTAAGTAATTAATGAACATGACAAGCGGAGTTAACCAATTTGAAAGTACCTTAGCAACTAACCGATGACACTGGGATAAAAATCGTGACTAAATTTGAAAATGTAAACACTGAACTACGATACAGTGGTCTAATAAGGTCGAATCCGTAACAAGATCTGACAGTTGTTAATTTGATCGTCTTCATAGAGTCATGAGTGTTCTCACTGTCGAGAAGTTTCAAACTGGGACAAGATTATTATCCAATGCCACCTAGTTCTTAATAGATCTAACAAAATCGATGGGAGCACTTGACGAAAAGTTTGTAACCCATTTAGTTATACAAAATGTCATTGATACCATCCTGATCCTATGATTACGAAGTAATCAGATATTAGAAAAGCATATTAAATAAAAATTTGATTGATTATGAATAACAGAAAAGCCGAAATGTAATTAAACAAAACACATCCACGTACAGGAGGTTCCGATAATCTTGGCAGCCCTGAGTGTTTAGTTTCTGAAGAAAAAAAGTCAGTAAATATTCGTCAAATGAATAATTCATATGGGTAAATTGTTTAGGGGAAAATATATAGTAATTTAACTGATAAATAAAGCTATAATATTATTAGTATGTGAGATCGAGATTGTTGAATTTCGTTGTTTACATTACAAAGTGAGGAACTGAGAAACAAAACTATCAAAGTTTATATATCCCTCCAAAGAATAAAAGAACTACGGTAAAAACCCATTCATTAGAGAATAATGCTTTCACACTCTTTGAATATCAGTGATAAATCTTCGATTGTTAAAATGAATTCTGGTCGTTAAATTCTATGGAATAATACGATATAGCTGACTGATGGTTGCTCACGAGACTGTATATGAGATCAAATACAAGACCACTAGTCTGAAAAATAAGTTTTTCTTTGAGTAAACGAGCATACTTAAAGGCAAATTATTAACAGAAAAACCGATATGATTAAGTTCTATAGTTGATTACAGAAACCGGCTACGTTGGTTCATAGCTCTTCAATCAACTAATTACTAATCATCATCTCAGATTGTTTGACTAAATAGAGTAGTTCACACAGTGAGAATAAACGTAAGCCAAGATACGATATAGTTGGTGAGACATGTATTGGGATTTGATGACAAAACTCTGTTTATCCAGAAGCTTTATAATGAACATCTCTAATGAATCTATCTTGCGGAAAGTATAGAATTCAATGGTGAGGGGACAGATGTCCAAAATGTCCAGATTTGTTTACTACTATATTACAACTCAGTGCATTAATACTCACTGGATTCATAAATTTTAAATTGGTAAAAACAGTGGTGTTAATACACAATTCAATAGATTCAACAATATAACTTGGTTGCTATATGTTCAGATAAGAAAAAAAGTCGTAAATCGGGATTTCAGCGATGTTGCATTATTGGAGGTAAATAGTTCAAACATAAGAATTATTGAACAGAATCTAATACTATGAAACTAGTTAATACATTACAATATATAATGTAACCCCCCAGTATATTTTATTTCCTAACCTAAAAAAAACATTTGTAAAAATCGACCAACCATTCAAATATTACAAATAGTAGTACTTTTAATTGAATCTTTTTCCAGTTGAGAGATTATAATATAAGGAATTCTCACCATGACATTATCAATTTATCAGTAGTGCATTAAACACCTAACGTTCTTTCTACGAACCAATTTTTTCTTCTTGTATTATACCTCCATATGCAATCTTTCTCTTATATATTACCACCTTTGACCCAACCACTGCTATGAATCCGGTGTTCATCTCGTTGTGCTGATGCGGTACGGCAACCTGGACCGATGCACATATGTGCCTGGTCCTACGTTGTAGCTGACTGACTGACTGACTGTTCATAAATATGATAAACATCAGACAGATTCTTGAATAAATAAAATAATTTTATCTCCTTTTTGTTTAATAGTTGAATTCATGAGTCGATTTAAGCCAAATCACCATTGAAAACCTGGAAGCACTGGACTGCCGTTTCGTCTTAGTACGGGACTCCTCAAAAGCGGGTGTCTACGATTCCGCACGTGGGACTCGAACCCAGGACCTTTAATTTTGAGCACAAATGCTTAACCTCTAGACTATTCAGCCGGCATGCAACGGAGTTAAGGCCAGACTTAAACCGATCTACGATATTACGCGACAGGTCGCTATTGTCTTTAGTGAGTAACTGCCTCATGACAGACACTCTACTGGAACTTCAGGAAATGCATCTTGAAGCCAGTCACTAGTGAGTACACGATAATTGTCATCAGAATGGGGGATTGTGCTAATTTAATAGTTTAATTCATGAGTCAATTTTTTGTCGTTGTTGTAAATGCTTATTTATGATTATTCCACTTATTGAGAAAAATGTAAAATATTACCTTTAGAACAGTCATTTTCTATACATTTCCAATCTGTACAATCTTCAACAGAATTCGCAGAACATGACATTTGAGATAAGGAAGAAACATTATGAATTACAGAATCGCTTGAAACAGTCATTTTGTCAGGTTGAGATAATGATTGAGATTGACTTTGAGGTAATGTATCATTTGAAATGGAAGGGACGGATATAAAATTAGACGATGAAGATTGTTCTAATGGTTCCTTGAGTAAATCTAACTCAGCCAAGAGATGAATATACTGACTACTACGTTTAAATGCACCAAAACAATCGGGACCTGAGAGAATGTTAACAATCTGTTAAATGTAAAACGTTTGGTTAGAAACCTTGATTGAAGCCAAATAAGGATAAAGTAATGTAAAAAAAAACATGTTTCGCTTCATTAGGAACTCATTAGCTAGACGTGGCAGTTCTCAGCTATTAAGGTGTAGACGGTATATTTAAACCGCGCTTCAGCGAGTTTAGTTTGGGTATTTGGGTAGTGTTCTATGATCCTTGATCTGACAACGATTTGGATGGACGTATTAATATGTTATGATCATAAAACTGCCATTTAACTTCGTATATTGCCTAGGCTAACCCCGATTGTGTGACGGTGGTAATAAGAAGTCAAATACGGGTTGCGTTGGATGGATTTATTTCAAGAGACCGTCTATCCAAACAGACATTAAGAATGAAGAGCGGAGGCCAGTTTGCTGATTCTATTTGATAAAGCAAAAATAAACTGGATATGTAATGAATAGGGTACGCGATACACACACATACGCTCATGTAAAAACAGTCAAGGTTAATAAGCCAACAATTGAGGTCAAAATGTGATTCAAGAACAATCAACAAATTAGTCCGTCAGGAAGCTAGAATAACCCATGTGGGCTTGATATAGTACTAGATACTACGGTATCACTAGCCTTGATCACAAGAGGCCTAAGATAAAATGCATAGGTATGAACGTGCTAACCAAGTGACGTTATGCTTTTAACATCAGATTGAGATACACTAGACTACTGAATCATTATTATAATCTTTTTCCTACTTAGATTCATTTGCTTAACAATCCAAGCTCCACGATCTTGCTTTGCAAAGTCAAATTTATGACCAGAGTCTAAGGCAAGTTATTGATTATTATAATAAATCGCACGAGTACTGAAAGGCAGGATATCCAAAACCATATCATTTTCAACCATATTGTAACAAATGCAGCCACCACTTCAAATATTTTGGTTTGGCCAGAAAGAGTATCTGAAATCCGGATTTAAATTCCCCATCCTATAGTTGAAATCAGTATTTATTTTATGGAAACAAATTCTATGATTTTTGACAATGAACGGTTTATGTCTGTTAATAAGGGAATAAGACGAATGATGATCAATAGACGATGATGTGCAATGATACGGTGTAGCAGAGCGATAATTTCTAACGACATCGAACTATCGATGTAACGGTTAAAATGAACTAATGCTGAAAGGTAAGAGATAAATAGCCGGGAGGTAAGTTTTATCAACTAAACGTTTATTTACGAAGTACTAAATACAAAAATAAATATGAATATATACACTTAATCAATGTACTATATCTTCTTTAAATGGCAATTATTATTAGTGGCTGTCCAACCATCACACACTATAACATGAAGAATGAGTTAAAATCTTGATAAATTTTGATTGTTACTTTGACAAAACTAGGTTTTTGTTATTATTATTTGTTAACTAAACAGTCGGTCAGTCATATACAAAGTAGAAACTGGCATATAGGTACATTGGTTCGAGTTGTGAAACCTGATTAGCACAGTGAGATGGAATTGTCAGTGCAAGTCCCAAGTAGTAGAGGTAGTAACAGTATTTAAGGATCCAATTCAGATGAACAGGACCAATGGATTGGTTAAAGCCTCTATATCACTTTCCCACCACAGTGTTCGTTTTAGGAAGATAGTGTTGTCTGTTTTGATTGAGATTCGTTTTGGCCCACGGATCTTGGTAACTGAGGAACGACTGAGTTCATTTTAATACGAACGTGTCCTATGACGGATTCCATAGAACAAAAACTGACGATAACCCTCAACAATAAACGAGGTTGAGAAGGAACACACAAAGAAGGCGAGAGTGTGGGAAAACGTAGTACTCAAGCACGTACATTAAAATATTACAACTTCACATATATAGTTATAAAAACAGAAACTTTGAACACAGAAAATTAGCAAACGAAAAGTAGTGGTAATTAAGCGGAGGAGAGCGAAGATCATGAGAAGATTCGAACTAGAAAGAAATATTGGCGGTTATTGTTATCAGTAATAGTCTAACGTTTATTAACGAAAATTGAATGACAGTATGATTTTCTTAGGACATCTACAATGAAACTATGAATATCCCACCACATAATTTAGAAAATCGGATCACTATTGTCTCCGGATCCTGTAGGTCTCTAGATGCACCTGTCATCAAAACAATTTGTGAGTACTTTTATTTTTATCCAATCTCTATGTAGAATGGTGACTCCATCAGACAGTAAAATGGAGTTATAATATCTGTGACCAGCATCAGAATTAATGCTTCCGAATGATAGATCGGTAAAGCGAAACTTCCATCTGTCGTATAACGTTGCTAAAGGTTTGCTGATTATTATTATTATTATTAATGGCTTTATTATATTTTGGTACAACTTAGAATTCTCAGCACAAGGTATTTCAACAAGTTTCTTTTACAAAAAAACAAAGACAAAAAAAGGAAAACAAAGGTTTAAAAAAATTTGAAAAACTGTACAACTTTCCGAATTTGAGACGTGTTAAGAATGCGGGTTATTGACTAAGTTAACTCTAACAACTTGTTCGCCTTAGCCTTCGTCACATATATTGAGTTGGATTGAATAAGTAACTATTTTGTAACACATCTGAATAATCTAGTTGGAAAGTGAATAAAGGCGAATGTTCGTGATCAGTCATGATAATGAGATGGATTCAAAGTCGGACGCATTTTGCAAAATTCATCAAATGCAGCACATATACGAATTTATAATTTTGTTGTTCATTAAAATATGAACCGATAGAATAATCGTATCAAATTTCATAGTGTAAATTGTATAGACTTCAGTAAACGAAGGTGGAGACGTCTTCAATGTTAGCACATATCACTGCCTCCACTTGATGTATATGAAAAACACCGGACAGTAAAGATAAAATTAACCTAGTGATATCAATTTGCGTAGATTGTATTTTTACTTCAATGTCATTGAAGGTAGTCCTATATTTTTACAGATCGCCTGTTTGATTCCAGATCTTATGCGAGAGACCACATTGAAAGATACCGTTCGACAAAACATCGAGGAATCCTTAGTTAACGCGGCCCCATACAGACTAGCTGCGAGCTAAAGTTGACGTATATTCCACAAGGGATTCGCAATTCGTATCACCTAGTGTTAGATATTGTTATCAATTAACAAGAAAAATTTAGAAGTTAGCCTTTATCAGACGACTAAAATATTCAAATTTTCGGTATTAATATTCTTATTACTTACATGTGCCTCAATTTCAGTGAATGCATTAGGATTTAATGAATTCGGTTCACCAGTAAGTGCCTTTAATGTACGTTGGATTAATGGTTCAGCTGATAAAGGCATAAAGTGCAATAAATTACTGCATATTGTTATGCCAAATGCACGCAACTGTTCAATGGAATCATCAACAATCTCATCTTCTCCACTTTTTTCTAGTATATTTTTCTTAACATTTTCATTTATGACCATTGTGTTTTGCTGTCCACCTTCATCTAAAGATGTTGTTATTGAATCTGCTTTTTCAATTAGATCTTTCTCATTGTCACACAAACTGGATGCAACTTCAGTTTGTGTGCCTTCAAAATTAGGAGAATCTGAGACTGATAGAGATTCTTCATCGGTATTAATAATGTCAATTGGATTTGTAGGATTTAAGCATAAATCTTCAGTTATAATACTAGTTGACATATCAGAAGTAATAGCCTCCATTCGTGAAGCTTCAGCAAGAGCCAACACTGAAGGGTCAATATTTTGATTAAGAGTTGCGTTGGGTATTAATTTACTGACGCCTTCACGGAAACTCTGAAAGAATAAAGAAGGATTAGGTAATTTATGATACAACACGGTTTTTATTTGGAAAATGACTTGTTACATCCCTATTAAGTGTCTTATTATATTACTCTTTTTGTGAAAATCCGTACATTTTAATGTGTATTTTGAAATGATCCGATTATCTATTTATCGGATTTAACAAGAACACTGTAAATATACATTTTTATATGCATACGATATAATCTTGTGGTTCTATAATCGCTTAGATAAATGAACCTCTTGCACAAATAAATATTTATTCAAATTAAGTGACCTGTTATTTATTAAGCAGTGATAAAAGACATATTCATCTATACTAAATATACAATAGATTATGTTATATTGTAAAATTCACTCGAATTAAAGAATACCTACTAGCTGTGTCAACAATTTTTTGTTCCAGTCTGTTTTTTTTTCTCAATAGAATGGTCGGATCGTTGAGTAAACTGTTTCATTCAATTAAGTATCATAATCTAGTGTCTAATGTTAGCAATCTAAATAATTCAATTATTTTCCCGTTAAATCACATCTCTGTATGAAAGAGAATAAGTAATCAGTCGTTAATTATTCACCATAGTAGACATCTTGGAGCAACTTTTTTCAAATTGCATTAAAATGCGACTGAATGACTAAGTACATGTTTCTGTATTTGGTACTGGACCACACTTTATGTGTAAACGTTTATGATATAACTACATCGAATAAACCGAAAAAGATGCAGCGGAGTTTCAACCTGCAATATAATGATTGAAAGAAGAATGCTTAGCCACCTACCTACTATTGTTCATTAACTTGTATCAAAGTTAACGTGATAAAACAATTTTATGATACGAAAATTAGTTTAGTTAATCAAAAGAAATCAACATAAATTTTCATGTCTAAGTGAAACCATTCTTTGTGAGGACATGGGGGTATGAATTTGTTTTGGTAACATACGTCAATGAACAACCTTTTTCAAATATAAAATATCCCAAAAAATTTATCTATATCTATTTCTGAAGTGTAGTTATTCAGCGAAGACAAACAACCGTTTACAGGAAGTGCATAAAGAACATATTATGTTGTGAATTCATATAATTATCAACATCTACTTTGTAATTCACTGTGTGTAAATTCCTTGTAATTGTGTCAACAAATTGTTGTCTAGTTAAGATTCGTTGGACATTGTGAAGGAATAATCTAGTAACCAGGATTGTCAGCCCGTATTCTTGAATTATCGTATTATATATTGTTAAGTCTGTTTTACATTCTCTATCATTCACTTCCCCTAGACTCTTTTGCATATTGTTTTATACTACTTAATAATACTCAGTAAATAGTTGTATTCCTCGGAATCTCTGCGCCCATGCTGTAACGCAAGTTTGTTGTGTAATATTCTGAAATATTCACATATACTTATAACATTTATTGTATTTATCATCATACTTCATTTATCTCAATCATTGTAGCAGTTATTCACAATTTTGTGTATTTGTCTAACTCTTGTTTAAACGCAACGGTTTCCACATTTTTCGCTCTTGGTTCGGTTTTTCCTCCTTGATAAACAGTTACCAACTTAGGCACAACTAACAGTTGTCTTTCGCACTATCCTATGTTGTAATTACTCTTTATGTTACTATTACAGGAAGCCGCTTTTGTTTTAGACAACAGGACAAGGCAAACGCCGTAGATACCTCATAAAGAATCGCTATTTCAGACAAATTGTTGCTTCGTGAACTTCGATTTTGCGCGTATCTCTATTGAGTGATTTGGACGCTTCGATAGACTTGACATATATGTTTCAAATTGAATAAAAAATGCATTATTAAGAGCTTGCTTACCACACAATTTAAATATAATCGAAGTAATGAATGCTTATTAATGGAAGCCAGAAAATCTGAAATTACAGAAAGAAGCAAACAACAAACAAATAGATAATAACAATAGAATGATAAATAACTCCAAGAAAAACACCCGAAATATATATATATATATATATATATATATATATATATATATATATATGTCAGTGAAGCATATTGGTCATTGTTTACAACAGTGATGAACAGTCAGTTTTATTTCAAACTGCAAGCGTGTTAAGGACTTATCCATAGTATCAGAATTTAGAGTTTCGGTCAGTGAAGCTTAAGGTTTAAATTAACATAAAACTCGAACACTAACAAACATTAACATGTAATTTGAAGCACAGTTTCAACTGACATGTGAAGCTTGAATCGTTAACGCTGGTTCCATGGGCTATTGAAGTCAATCGAAGAATGTATAGCAAATATATTAAACACGAAAGAGGAATTGATGTGGAGTTGGGTGAGGTGAAGTTGAGTATTGAAAATTACAGGCCCCAGAGCTTGAGTCATATTAATTTCACAAAGGCTAAAAATACAAGTTGGTTTTAAACTTTCACCGCACTTTTGAGTTAAGATTTGATTAAAGAGATCTGGGTAGTTGAAGTGAACGAATAGAATGCAAATCGATAGAATACAGCGATGTTGCCGACAGTGGATTATTGAATTAATCATGCCCGCTCATTAAAAAATTATATTAAAGACAAGACTATCAGCTATAAGAATAGGTTCTCTATCTAAAAAACATATTTATTTACAAAATCTTATTATAGAAATAAACGTGACCAAATGACGCCAACGATTTTGTACATCCTTCATTCTTCGATGAAATAAAAGATGGATAGGCTTAATTCTTTGCCATCACACCATCAACAGACAGACCTAATTTATGGCCACAATTAAGTTTAGCACAGTCACAATACATTGTTTCCTATGACACTGGATGATAGTTTCGCAGTACTACTTGAATACGTTTGAACATAAAATATGGAAAATACAGGATTCCAACTTGATGGATGAAAATTATAGGTTCTGCTAGAGACTGGAAATATGAACAGGTATATACACTAACCAAGAGTGTGAAACAATGATACAAACATACAGTTCTCTTGTTCGCAGTATCTCAAAAATGTCTGTTTTCTGCATTTGCGCATTAACTTTCACCACTTAAAATGTTTTCCGTTTCTGTTGCGGTTAAAAACTATATTTTACTATTACACGGTGGCTACTCGTTGACAACTTTAAGTCTTTGCTTAGACAAGTTACGAAACTACTGGTTGACATATAGAAGTTTCATAAATCCACAATATTCTAGTATATGCTTTTATTGGTGATCAATATCCACTTAAAACAAAATACCAGTGATTTATAGGGTGCTGAATAATTAAATAAAAGCGTTTAGAAATCTACAGTTTTTTAACTATAATAAAAAATATAGACAGATAGACATCATCAACATGGAGCCTGGTACAGATGTGCTTTGTCTCAAGTTAGCATACCAGATTAACAGGACATGAAAATAACAAAAGTGATCGAAATAATATAGTAGCGATGAAAAACTAAACTTTCGGAAAATAAGTATCAATACTAAGGTTGGATTTGATAGCTTTAAATGAATCGAGAGTTAGGTGGAGAGTTAATAATAAATATATTTTTTGCTATATCCCAATGAGTAGAAAAATTGTATCCCGGTTATTTATTTACACTGAAGAAGTGGCTTACATAAAGTCACGAAAAGTCAGAAATGCAATTTTCCTACTCATTGAAATATAACAAAAAATATGTTTATTGTTTTGTAGTATAGTTTGAAAAGGTAGAATGGAAAAGTATGGACGATAGGGTACTGGAATTTAAGATCGAGAGAAAGATAAAGAATGAAAGCATATGAGTTGTTGCGAAAAATTCTACGCCACGCTACGTAGTCTTCAACCGCTGACTGTAGTTGTCACGTGGACCTTAACTAGGTAGTCTGTCAGTCAGTCAGTATCTAGCGACATAGCTCAGACCAACAGATAATGACTTTACGAACTGAAACCACGTCACAGTATAGCCACCTCTAGCTTTCTTACAACCTACTTCTTGCATTAGCAACCATTGGTCGTCGAGGTAAGTAGAGGTTAGGTATGCGTAATACACGCCCCGACTACCTCAGTCAGTCAGCTACAACGTAGGACCAGGCACATATATGCATCGGTCCAAGTTGCCATACCGCATTAACACAACAAGATGGACACCAGATTCATAAAAGTAGTGAATTCAGAGGTGGTAGTATATAAAAGAAAGATTACATGCAAGGATATAGTACAGGAAGAAAGAATTAGTTCGTAGAAAGAAAGATATGATGCAATTTTAATCTCTCAGTTTAAGGGAAGATAGAGAGTGTATACACCGACGCCATTGTGATCGATTCTGAGCCATGTCACCAAGAGTCTTCAACCATTGGTTACGAAAGTCACGCGGACCCCAACCAAGTAGTCTGCATCTACCAACATGGCTCAGACTAGAAGTTAGTGACTTCAAGCACTGATGCCACGTTTTGGTTTGGCCAACCCTAAATTTCTTCCAACCATCCCGAACGCCCGTTAGCACTGCAAGTTGTGGTAATTGGTGTTCGGGCATACGTAACACGTGGCCCAACCATCTCAGTCGATGAAGATTAACAACCACATCGACTGATTCACCATCATTCCCTAATATCCTGCGTCTAACCTTACTATTACTTACCCGATGATCCCAACAGACGCCAGCAATATTTCTAAGGCATCTGTGGTCAAATACTAGTAGCTTACGAGTATCTTCTACTCTCAATGACCACGTTTCGCATCCGTAAACTAGAACAGAACGAACTGCCGCGCAGTAAACTCGTCCCTTAATTGATAGACGGATATCTCACCTTCGCCATAGGTGACGTAAGTTGGTAAAGGTTAAAAGAGCTTTCTGAATGCGTGCTGAGATTTCATCAGACACTGACCGATTAGGGCTGATGAGACTTCCAAGATAAGTGAAGTTGTCAACGCGTTCGACTATTTCACTCCTTATCGTTAGTTCTATTGTTGACGCAAATCAGTCCTGAAGCAACAACTTGCATTTAGAGGGAGAGAAGCACATCCCAAACATTCTGGCATTGTTGCTCAGTGCTACCAAAAGGCTCTGCATTCTATCAGCGTCTTCACCAAACAGGACTATGTCATCCGCGTATTCTAAGTCGACTACTTCAGTCGATGGAGATTAACAATCTCATTAACTGACTTGCCATCTTTGCTAAACATTCAATGGCGCAAAACCTCAAAATTGCTTATTCAGTCGCTCCACGAAACGCGAAAAATGCTTCGAGGACATCTATGATCAGAAACCTTCAGCCTACGCATGTCTTCTAATTTTATAGATCATGTCTCATAGCCATAAAGTAAAACAGAGCGGACTGCTGTGCACCATACATACCAATTAGTTGGAAGACGGATGTCTAAATTACGCCGTAAATGAGGTAAGTTGACAAACTCCAACTTAATTTTCTGAATCCGTGCCGAGACTTAGTAGTCAAAATAAAGAAATATGGCACAGATATTCCCATGTTATAGGTATAAGTAGATGAACTCTAGCAATTAAATGACAATATACAATCCAAAAGAATAAAAAGAATCATAATACAGAAAGTACACTTACCTAAAAAGCTAACAACTGCAACACTTTTAGTCATTAATTCTTGAAATGACATATCATAAATTCGTGCATCCGGTTGTAAGTGATAAGCTAATACACGTCCGGGCTATAAACGGAACATAGGAGGAGTTGAAAAATATTTGACAAAGGATGAATACGTAGACAATACAATATAGAATTGTAAAAGCTTACTTTTTCAGCTACACCTTCTTGAATTTGTCTTCGACGAATTAAACATATTTTTCTGACATAATCGAGACTTCCAAGTTGCGCTTTAATAAGAGCATCTAAAAAATCAATAAGACGACTACTGCTTATTTATTGAAATAAACAAATTAATGAAAATAACATAACAATTTTATTGATTAAATGGTGCTACTGAGATTACCAAGCTGTTTATCTACAAGGCAAATTGAAGAACTTTAAAACCCATATCAAGAGAAAAACACTTCGTGGTGTTGTTTTCTCTGAGTTAGATAGTTGTATAATTAACATTGTCGTATTTGACTGTTTCATCGCCTTTTCAAAACAGAGGGATTTTTAAAAGTAAAAAGAACGAAAGCGTATGCTCCGAGTTTAAACCGTGTTGGTGAATACGGAAGTATCACTTAGAGAATTTGAAAAGTCATGATTTCAAACCATTGGTGTATGTGGATTTCAGAAATCTGCAGAAACGAATGGTATACGAAGCCATTTTGATGACCAGCTATCATAATTTTGCAGCTTCTGATGTCGCTCCATCTCTCTGAAGCACTAATCAACTAGATTCCAATTAATGGTCGTTTGTGTGTGCTTAATAACCATCAGAAAAATGTGATTGTTGAAAGGAATCTACGTAATTTATGAGACAATTGTACAGTACCGGTCATACACTACAAACTATGGAAGAATGGTTTTAGTTCGCGTTACGAATGCATTGATTGAATCTTCCAACGCCGTCAAATGCTGGAAAACCTTCGGAATTAATGTTAAGTTCAGTTACATTCTTCATCCCTATTTTCGAACTTCACTCCCTTTCGTGTATCATTCTACACTACTTATCAATATTCAGTAACCCGTTTCATTTCTAATAACTTTCGAGGATATAATTTGACCTACATATGTTGTCAAATAATGTTCTTGAGTACTTACAGAAGCTGATGATATTCAATTTATATCTTTTATGGTAACCATATCTTCTGAATACTTGCGAAAGGCAGTTTCAATTATAGTGTGTTCGTTGAAAGCTTGTTTTATTGTAACAGTTCGCATACTTTGGTGTCCTTCGTCATCATTTTGACGTAATCTGTCATTGTAATTTCGACACGACTATTAACACTCCAATATGGCATGTTATTATAAACAACTCTATATATCTAACTTAAGAAACACTTTTTTTCGATGTACAGGAAATTCCGGATTTTTTTATTAGAGGAAGATATCACAGAAGCCTATTAACATAATCAAGGACCTGTAATAAGAACAGCTCAGATAGTGACAAGATTTTGATAAATCCTCATGTTAAGAAAGGCAGTTATATAGGACTGAAATCTGTTGATCACTCACAATTCTCCTGTTATATTCCTTTAGACAGTACAAATCAGCGGCTTAAAACGTTATCAAATATGGCTCAAAATAGAAGGCAGTGGTAACCCTGGTGTAGTTTTTAATTACATTCTATCACAAATAGTAAGATAGTTCACCCCAAATGGAATTTAAAAATTTTCGTTTTAACCTTAAATAAACTAGTTTCATACATTTATTTCTCGATTGTAAATCTCTTCCATCTTCCGTATTGGACAATATAATCATTTAACTTGCGCAGAGTATGTTTTTAGTAATTTACTAAAACTGTAGTGTATTCATTTAAAAACAAGAAAGGTTGGTTGAAACGGAAAGTTCCCTTTTTAGCAAATTCATTTTTGAAGATGTACAATCACTGAACCAATTTTTCTTGCTTCTAAGCATTGATAGATGTACTTTATTTACTCAAAAACTAGACAACGTAAAACAAATATGTAGAGAAACCAAAAATAAATCTGTTTACCATCATCACCACCAGTGTCGTGACCCCGAAGTTTATCCATGAAACTATTTAGCTGACGAATGACAACATCTATCTCTTCAGTGCTTTCAGACATGCGTAGTGCTTGGCAGAAATACTCACTCGTATAGGCACTATCTGATGCCTATTTAGAAAAAAATTGAAAGCAAAGCATAAAATGTAGGTATTATGGGATCAGACGTACAAAATTTGACAGATGAAACACGATTTTGTTACTAGTAAGGACAGCAAAAAGCCTTCCGATGGTCAAGTGACTAAAACTAAACCTGCACGTTTTTATTTGTATAGCGAAAGCCGTTATAAACTTCATAGGCATTTAGAGGAGTAGCAAAACGCTTTGTGAAGGGCAAAAATGGACAATCAAAACTTACCACAAAAACGTGTAAGAAACCATATATTTCAGTTATGTACATACAAGAAGTATAACGTTTAAAGTACGCGAACTTATCGCTGATACCTTAAATATCATACTACAAAAATATTCTATCCGACAGTTTTATAAGAGATAAGTTTATACATCGATTCGGTTTATGCTAGAACTGACCACAGCTCCGATGTTGAAAAAAGCAAGTTTTATGGAAGGTCCAATAAGCTTCAAAAAGCTAAGCTCTCTGACAGATCAATCATAGAATGGATGGCAAGACTATAATTTATGGACGGACAAATGAGATTTAGAATAACAGGTCTTGAATTTCAGCGCGACATCCATTTAGCTCGAAAGCGTTTTGGCATTTAAGCTGATGTCAGTTCTGGATGAAAACCCTAAGTCTAGTTCTTAACCCTCACCATCAACTGTCAATCATAATCTTAATTCCCCACACTGGTCTATAACCCCCACTCAGCCCTACTAAATAAGTGAACGTTCTCGATGTGACTTTAGTGTCGTTCATCAATTATAGTTTCACTGAATAGGGTTTTCACGTCCAAGTAGAAAATGAAAACCAAGTTGAGCGACAATTGGGCGAGTTCATCAGTGAGGGCCCAAGAAATGGACAGAAGTGACTATCTGTTCCAACTATCGGATACAATACTCTCTACAAATCTGGAATGTTACTTCAAGATTGGCTCGCGTAATCGCCTAAACCAATGATAGGAAGTGTAGTTGAAAGCATCTGCTGCTTCACTTAGCTGCGAGGCGGCTCGGTTAGAAAGAGTACTAGATAAGTGCGGTAGATCGATCGACAAAGTAGTCAATTTTTATCAATTTATATGGTTGGGATATGTGTTACGTATACCTAGCCACCGCCTACTTTGACGGGCGAAGTTCTCTGGTGCAAGGTTGCCTGCAAGAAGGCTAGGGGCGGTCAAGTCAAAACATTGCATCAGTCCGTGAAGTCACTGACAACTGGATTGAACTACGTTGATAGGTACAGACTACCTGGTTGGGGTTCACGTGATTGTCGTAACCAGTAGTTAGAGACCTTGAATGATATGGCTCGAAATCGTTTGCAATGGCTCAGGTGCATCCAGACTTTGTCTTTCCCAAATCCTGAGCTTTTAACTTCCTCATAACTTTTTGCTTTCATTTCATTAATTTATGTTTCCTTTTCGTGAATTCCTATTACCACTGATATTGTTACTACCTCTACTATTCTGAGATTTGGTCTGACTTCACTTCTCTGTGCTAATCGGGTATCGGAACCTGGACTGATGTACATACGTATAGGTTCTATGTTGTGATTGAATAACCATACACAAAGGACCACTCAGTTCTAGAAAATGAAAATTGTAATCATAAGGAAGGATAATTTCCGATGACCCCCAACATCGACTCAACACAGACCTCGTCTTTAAGACTCGATTCACGACTACTGCTTCTCCAACGCACATGTTCTCACACTCCATCCTGAAGTGTAAACACGCGTTTGTTTGTGACTTGCCGGGCCCATAAAAGTCACAGAAGGAAGACCCTTCAAAACTAATTCTGAAAAAATGGTCAGAAGTACAGTTTACGAACAATAAACTAAGCACTTAGTCGACCGTGTGGGTTAAGTTTATTCTGAGAGGCTTGATGTAATATCCAAACAGTTGTAACAACAGCACTGTTATCTACTTGTGACTCAAACTAGAAGCTTAGGAAAGATCAATGGAGTTCAGGGGTTTCAAATAAATTGACATTCTCGAAATCTCATACTAACCGGCACCGAAACACGAGGATGAGAAACAGTTTGAATGCAGACTGACAAATATTTTAAGCAACGATACCCAGTAGTGGTGGGGAACGAAAGTCACATAGGCGAAAGGGTAATGCCAATACGTCACACTAAATTACTGTTCCAAATCGTCGAGAATACGTTTAGTGGAATTCAGCTACGAGCTAGACTATTTCGGAACCATAGTTCACTTATTCCAGGAGGTTAGGTCGGTTAGCAGAACACTTAGTAACAGTTTAACCGGGTGCCAGTTATCCATAATCTTCAAGCAGTGTGGATGGGAAATTGGCACAAGTCCCATAACTGAGATCGAGGCCATTTTCAATTCGAAGTGAGGAAGAGTGGCAAAACTAGATAGGTTGGTTCTGGAAGTCCTTAAGAATGATTATACAGTCTTATATGTTAAGTTGACTGATATATCAGTTAGAGCGCGATCTATGAAATTGGGAGGTACGTGTAGGTTGGAGATTCATGATAGGTGGGGAAAGATACGATGGACAAATCTGCTTATTTTATTTGAATCAACCTAAGACTACATACATTTGGTATGAAGGAAATATTAACAGAGAAAATAAACAACATGAAGAAATCAAATCACTAGTTACTAACAAAACTCATAGGAAAGTGTACTCACAAACCAAGCTATGGTTCTGTTAACGAAATCGGGATCCGATAGCAAGTTGATCATTGGCATTAGGACAGAATTAACCAGCAACTCCTACAACATTAGAAAAGTAAGTACCTTACCCGGGTTATATATCGTATACCAGGTACACCATATTCCTCAGCAGGGGTAACAAAGAATAAAAACATATCACTTAGCAAACGAAGATGGTCTATTGGGAAGGTTAGAGCAATCCTTATACTAGCCTTTTTCCCGATCTTCAGAATTACAGATTTCTTCGTGACATACACTTTTCTCTGTCTCAGCTTCAACATCAAAAAATAATTTCGCATAATCTTCAGTTTTACTAGGTAATACGACAAATACCTCTGTCAGGATAGGCTGCCTTCCTGTCCAGCATATTTCGGTAGACACGAACATGGGCAGACATGAAAGAAGGAAGCGTTTCAGTAAAAAAAGGCACCCAATCCACGTCGGAAACTCTGGTGAAATTACTAACTACAGAGGCGTTTACCTTCTAACCACATTCGCAACAACCCGTAAAAGGAGCTTATGGAGTTCCATTGGAAATGAATCATCCGGTGTGAGAGAGTTGTACCAAGGAGTTATGTAGTCTCTGATAATGTAGCTTACAATCTGCGGTGATAGAAACATTTACAAAACTACCTGGTTAAGCACGTAGTCTAGGTCCTGATGAGGAGATACACGTATATTCGGTCTCGTGACACCCTCAGCATCCATGATAGCCGTCACCTTTGGAATCCCTTTGGAGAATAAAAGATCTCTCTTGTGGAAATGCACAACAGGCTGTTCATTCATTAAAAAGAAACTAAGAACAAGTTGTAAATATCAAAACGAATGTGTAATACCCAGCAGCAAAGGAAAGAGTCGCAATGACGACATAAAATATAAATGTGAAACCATGATGCAGTAGAAAACAGATAACTGTTATGCCCAGAACAACACTGAACTTTAGCATAACTAAAACCGTAACGCCTGTAATCAAAACTCCGGGAAAATATCCAGTAAGAATGTGTAGTGGCATTGGACAATAGCCACACAATCTACAAAGCTGTGAACACGAGACTACTCAGAAAATAGATATTCAATATTTAACTCGGGGAAATACCTAACAATGGAGAAGGCGCGGAGAATGAATTGAATGGACTGGAGTTGATCGAGTGGCATGGCTCGTCCATGCAGACGTGGTCCATCTTAGTGTTACTTCATATCTTCTATTCATATTAAATATATTGTTCTTTCTCTTGCCTAACCTTGTTCCTCATCATGTATTGGTAATTGATACGATACAGTGAGTTGGTGTAGTCGATGGTGTGACTTCCACGTAAGATCTTATAGATTAGGCAGTTATATCATGACAAATCGACAAGTTTAGGATTAGGTTTATTATTAGAGCAGTACTAATATCATAGTAGATCATAATCCTACAAATGTAAGCAGTTTAATATTCAAATGAATAAAAAACTATGAACGTAATTACATAAGCTTTCGATTAACGGAATTCCGCATTTAGTAGTAGTTGATCTTCGTTGTCTCCTAATAGTAAATTGGGTATATATAATGAGCAAAAGAGGAAATATTGGTAAATTATGGCTAGATGCTGTCCTGAGCACTTTAGAAAATGTTACGTCTCCTCTTCAATAACTCTTAGAAAATCGCTTGCACTGTTTTATTCGGCAGAGAATTCCTGTATTTGATTACTAGTAATGAGTAGGTGTGTCTATGGTCTATCCTACATTGTGTCCCTTTTGCTTATCAGCGCCTGTGGAAGAGTCGTGTTTTCCTCAGACACTCTACTTAACATTATTCGTGCCAATGCAAAATTGGCTAGGCTTCTAAAAGTCAGTCATTGAAAAGATTATTATGCTTTATGGGATCTAAGTAAATATGATTATCACACCTAATTAGTTCCTCTCATTACTCCTTAAGTTTATCATGCTTTGTACAATCATTTCCTCGTCCGTGATGTCAAGAGAGAGCCAGGTTTCAGTCGGAACTATGATCTTTATTCGGAATGAAAATGCGTCCCTGAACTTATCTACAGTACCACTTCAACTGGTAGTAAAACGGAGAGATAATCTGAATGTGAGGGCTCCTCGTTAAGTTGGTTTGCGATCTCTAAGTTAGTGAGAACCTCGCCGTTTCGCATTTAAGGGCTCGTATCACTCGGTTTGTGGGCCTTCTCCGGGTCATGAATCTACAGTGATATTTTAAGTAAGCTTGCATCTTGTCTGCTAACAAGGACGGAAATAGTCTCACATCGGTTTCTCGTTCCTATTTAAGAGTGATAACCAGATTCCATCGAATAAACCTTTCACTTGTGCCCGGCTCTCCGTTTGGCCTGAAGCAAGCGTTCCATGCCTCACTTGTTCCAGGATCTTCGCTTCCTGCGTTTATGCTTAACCTGAGTTAGATTGTGTTGTATAGGATTCTGAACGATGTACCTTTCTACCTCCCAGTAGTTACACACTGTTTGCCCACACCATTCTTGTAGCCATGTGAGGTAATAAAGATGCTCCCAAACCGCCATGTAGTCTTCTATAGTTTAGCTAAGGTAGGGAACATTCTCGGTTTGCCATGGTATTTAGTTTGTAATCACATCGAAAATGACTATATCTTGGTCAGAACTTCCTACTGGGGAAGGGAAGTGGACATACTCGCCAGAAAAAGATCAATTGTCAGTAAAAAATCTAAGCTCGAAGGTTTTCCATCCAAATCCCACCTCGTAGCGCCATCAACATGTTCAGTTAGTCTTGAACTTTCAGAGGCTGTAGCAAGCCTCTTACGCAACCGCCCTATACACGTTGTTCCTACTTGCTTTGGTTTAGAGGAAGTATTGAGGTCTCCAGCAAGTAGTGTTTGGTCAAAAACCAGGTGTGATAACTCTGGTATCTCAGTATCATCTTAAATTATTGGGTTTTAGTGCTTGTGAGTTCCTCCAATGAAGAACATCTTTCCGCTAACATTGGAGCAACAACAGCAGGATTCTTTCACCTTGGTTAGTTCAGTACTGTTTGGTCTTACAGCCTCGAAGTGGTTGTGAATATATGTCGCCACCCCACCTCCCACGCTAAAAAATATAATGTTCTGACTGAATAAAATAGTATTTTTTGGACACAGGCTGATTTTCTGTGTCAAAATTGAATGGTCCTCCCAATCAAACGTAGATCTAGACTTGAATACTTGCTCCTGTTACCCCACGTGAAGAAGCATAGGGCGCCCACCAGTACTCTACATGTAACCATGTTCTGGGCAATTCTTTCTAGTTGTGTTCAGTTGCCATTCATCCTTTTCATGTCTTCTGAGTAGTGTGTTCTTCGGCCTACCCCTTTTCTGTTTCCCATCAGGATTCCAAGTAAGCGCTTGTCTCGTGATGCAGTTTGGTGATTTCCCCAATATTTGTCCTATCCACCTCCAACATCTTCATAATTTCCTCTTCAACTGGAGGATGGGTTGCTCTCTCTCTCTCACAGTAGGTTGGTGCTGATGAGATCTGATCAGCGGACACTGAGTATCTTAAGTAGACAGTTGTTTATAAATACTTGTACCTTCTAAATGATGGGTGTAGTAGTTCTCCACGTTTCAGTTCCGTACTGTAGAACTATTTTGACGTTCGTATTGTAGATTTTGACTTTGATATTAGTGGACAGTTCTTCTAAGTTCCATGTGATCTTTGACTGTAAGATCTAGAGCACTGTATAAATATAGTAAATGAGATAGTGGCCCACAAATCTTTTCCATCATATTATACCATAGGAAATATTGGAGATTTGGCAACAATGAATTTTTCTAATCTAGCTATCATTAATCATTGGTGAAGAAGTTTCCACATTTCCTTGAATTTGATTATTTTGTAGCATCGAAAGACGGGTGGAAATAATCCGGATATTCCCTCATGAACTTTTGTAGACTTCATTTGTCTGGAAGTATATGTAACATGAATTGGTGGCCCTTGTTTTTCCAGACAATTGAATTAAGCTCGACCTTTTGTGGAAATTTTAAATATACGTGACACGATATCCGGGTTAAAACAAACCCCACTATCGTTCTGAAGTTCGACCCTTTATATGTCGATCACGCAAAAGGAATTGAGAATCATCGTTTACACTATCGTGACCCAAGATGTAGGCTGTTTCGTTTTCTATCGTCTTTTTCTGGCTCATATGGAAAGTTTAACGTTTTCTACGGCGAAAATATCACTCAGTCGTGCTACGGACGTGTCAAGTGTAGCACAGTCAACGACAAAGAAAGGACAGTTACAACTTAGCGAAAGTCATACAACCAATTAATTCTATGATAGAAATTATTCCAAAATGTATGCAATCGCTTGACTAGATGAACGAAAACAACCACAATTACTTATTATGATACACTTAGATCACTTAGAGTTTATCCACAGTCTTCTATTCATTACTATGAATTATTGAATGCACTTGATGATACTCCCGTAACGATTTTGACTTAAGGAAGGGATTGCAAATCATGATGAACCAACGGAAGTATATTTGCTGTAACACTTGTTACTTTAGATACTAGCGTGTCAAATAGGTCGGTAAAACTAAAAGCATAGCTGAAGGTCCATGGGTTAAAGTATACCGTTGTCAATACAAAGTGATGATAGTATTAAAGCTTTTCTCAGATAACCAACATCTATCTGGACAGTATTTTTACAGAGGAAAGTAGATGTTGGAAAATGTCAGTCCTAACTCACCTCGCCTTATCCAACGATACCGCTCACAAGCGAAGAGGTCTTTAGAATCTTGTAATTAACTCGACAAAGACTTGTAACGAAAATGCAGCATGACGGGCCTCAAACACTTGTTTATTCAGCTTGGAATCACGTTTTCAGGTTGAAAAGGCTACTACTGATTCATTTTCTCCTTTTCATATCCCTCAAGAAATATCCCCATATCATGTGGGGAAACGAGGAATATCTACAACATATCAGGATATCCAACCGACAAGCAAAGCGCATCTTAATCGCTGAAAGGTAATTCGAATTAGACCACCCACACTTGTCTGATGTTTTCGAATTCTACGCTCCACCAAACCTAAAGATCGAAGTTTACAAAACGATATCTTAGGTCTCCTGAATCAGTACTAAAAAATGAATGTCAAAAAAATAGTGTTATTAGCTAAGACCTTAAAATCTCATTACATCGACGTACACTCCATCTCCAATACATTCATAAAGCATCTTCGACAACCGATCGCAGTTCGGAAGCAGAAAATGACAAAGTGATTCAGGCTATCTCGCTAGATACAGACAACTTAGTTGTGCCGCGTGTAACGACTGCGGTTCGCTGATAGATACTTAGGTGACGGTCGGGAATTACGTACAACGTACTACGTGCTTAACCAGGTAGTTTTGTAAATGTTTCTATCACCGCAGATTGTAAGCTACATTATCAGAGACTACATAACTCCTTGGTACAACTCTCTCACACCGGACGATTCATTTCCAATGGAACTCCATAAGCTCCTTTTACGGGTTGTTGCGAATGTGGTTAGAAGGTAAACGCCTCTGTAGTTAGTAATTTCACCAGAGTTTCCGACGTGGATTGGGTGCCTTTTTTTACTGAAACGCTTCCTTCTTTCATGTCTGCCCATGTTCGTGTCTACCGAAATATGCTGGACAGGAAGGCAGCCTATCCTGACAGAGGTATTTGTCGTATTACCTAGTAAAACTGAAGATTATGCGAAATTATTTTTTGATGTTGAAGCTGAGACAGAGAAAAGTGTATGTCACGAAGAAATCTGTAATTCTGAAGATCGGGAAAAAGGCTAGTATAAGGATTGCTCTAACCTTCCCAATAGACCATCTTCGTTTGCTAAGTGATATGTTTTTATTCTTTGTTACCCCTGCTGAGGAATATGGTGTACCTGGTATACGATATATAACCCGGGTAAGGTACTTACTTTTCTAATGTTGTAGGAGTTGCTGGTTAATTCTGTCCTAATGCCAATGATCAACTTGCTATCGGATCCCGATTTCGTTAACAGAACCATAGCTTGGTTTGTGAGTACACTTTCCTATGAGTTTTGTTAGTAACTAGTGATTTGATTTCTTCATGTTGTTTATTTTCTCTGTTAATATTTCCTTCATACCAAATGTATGTAGTCTTAGGTTGATTCAAATAAAATAAGCAGATTTGTCCATCGTATCTTTCCCCACCTATCATGAATCTCCAACCTACACGTACCTCCCAATTTCATAGATCGCGCTCTAACTGATATATCAGTCAACTTAACATATAAGACTGTATAATCATTCTTAAGGACTTCCAGAACCAACCTATCTAGTTTTGCCACTCTTCCTCACTTCGAATTGGAAATGGCCTCGATCTCAGTTATGGGACTTGTGCCAATTTCCCATCCACACTGCTTGAAGATTATGGATAACTGGCACCCGGTTAAACTGTTACTAAGTGTTCTGCTAACCGACCTAACCTCCTGGAATAAGTGAACTATGGTTCCGAAATAGTCTAGCTCGTAGCTGAATTCCACTAAACGTATTCTCGACGATTTGGAACAGTAATTTAGTGTGACGTATTGGCATTACCCTTTCGCCTATGTGACTTTCGTTCCCCACCACTACTGGGTATCGTTGCTTAAAATATTTGTCAATCTGCATTCAAACTGTTTCTCATCCTCGTGTTTCGGTGCCGGTTAGTATGAGATTTCGAGAATGTCAATTTATTTGAAACCCCTGAACTCCATTGATCTTTCCTAAGCTTCTAGTTTGAGTCACAAGTAGATAACAGTGCTGTTGTTACAACTGTTTGGATATTACATCAAGCCTCTCAGAATAAACTTAACCCACACGGTCGACTAAGTGCTTAGTTTATTGTTCGTAAACTGTACTTCTGACCATTTTTTCAGAATTAGTTTTGAAGGGTCTTCCTTCTGTGACTTTTATGGGCCCGGCAAGTCACAAACAAACGCGTGTTTACACTTCAGGATGGAGTGTGAGAACATGTGCGTTGGAGAAGCAGTAGTCGTGAATCGAGTCTTAAAGACGAGGTCTGTGTTGAGTCGATGTTGGGGGTCATCGGAAATTATCCTTCCTTATGATTACAATTTTCATTTTCTAGAACTGAGTGGTCCTTTGTGTATGGTTATTCAATCACAACATAGAACCTATACGCATGTACATCAGTCCAGGTTCCGATACCCGATTAGCACAGAGAAGTGAAGTCAGACCAAATCTCAGAATAGTAGAGGTAGTAACAATATCAGTGGTAATAGGAATTCACGAAAAGGAAACATAAATTAATGAAATGAAAGCAAAAAGTTATGAGGAAGTTAAAAGCTCAGGATTTGGGAAAGACAAAGTCTGGATGCACCTGAGCCATTGCAAACAATTTCGAGCCATATCATTCAAGGTCTCTAACTACTGGTTACGACAATCACGTGAACCCCAACCAGGTAGTCTGTACCTATCAACGTAGTTCAATCCAGTTGTCAGTGACTTCACGGACTGATGCAATGTTTTGACTTGACCGCCCCTAGCCTTCTTGCAGGCAACCTTGCACCAGAGAACTTCGCCCGTCAAAGTAGGCGGTGGCTAGGTATACGTAACACATATCCCAACCATATAAATTGATAAAAATTGACTACTTTGTCGATCGATCTACCGCACTTATCTAGTACTCTTTCTAACCGAGCCGCCTCGCAGCTAAGTGAAGCAGCAGATGCTTTCAACTACACTTCCTATCATTGGTTTAGGCGATTACGCGAGCCAATCTTGAAGTAACATTCCAGATTTGTAGAGAGTATTGTATCCGATAGTTGGAACAGATAGTCACTTCTGTCCATTTCTTGGGCCCTCACTGATGAACTCGCCCAATTGTCGCTCAACTTGGTTTTCATTTTCTACTTGGACGTGAAAACCCTATTCAGTGAAACTATAATTGATGAACGACACTAAAGTCACATCGAGAACGTTCACTTATTTAGTAGGGCTGAGTGGGGGTTATAGACCAGTGTGGGGAATTAAGATTATGATTGACAGTTGATGGTGAGGGTTAAGAACTAGACTTAGGGTTTTCATCCAGAACTGACATAAGCTTAAATGCCAAAACGCTTTCGAGCTAAATGGATGTCGCGCTGAAATTCAAGACCTGTTATTCTAAATCTCATTTGTCCGTCCATAAATTATAGTCTTGCCATCCATTCTATGATTGATCTGTCAGAGAGCTTAGCTTTTTGAAGCTTATTGGACCTTCCATAAAACTTGCTTTTTTCAACATCGGAGCTGTGGTCAGTGAAAGTTTACACAGCCATTCGATCTTCTAGATTGAGTGCACTGTGATTCCTAATTATGTACCTTCTTGTTCACTTCTATTTACTAGTCGAAAATCGGTAGCAACTTTGTTTTAAGCATTTAAAACGACTCATAAAAGTTACAAAATAAAGTGTTCTTTATTAATATGAACAGAAATAAACATAAAATATTAGCTATTGAAGGAAGAAAGACAATACTTAACAGATGTAACTGTAAGCTTTCGGATAACCGGATTTCACTATGCCTTCGAATAAAACAAAAACGGAAATGGGAGCAGAATAAATACAGATTTCATTTCGTCGATTTCACATTTTAAAGGATTGCAAAGTATCATTATACTAAAATATTGAAAAGAAAATAGCATATATCACGCTTGTGAATATTACAAATATTGTGGTACAATTGACCATAGTTAGCACCACATTAATTACATGTAGTTCCCCGTAAAACTTGTGGTTTACTTACTAATGCCGGGAAAATAGCTACGCATGAACCATTTAAATTTTATCTTCCGATAAACATAATCTACAGTTTACATCCAATAAAAGACATTTCAATTTATTCGCGAAATCGTCACAATATTTGTTGAATTGCATTATATCACGAGGGTGTTTCGTCCAGAATTTGTGGAAAGAATAAAATGTATAGCCTGTTTCAAAAACGATAGGAAAAAGAATGTATGTATAGTAGAATGAGCTGGTTTGTAATTAAACATAAAACGATTCTACTTCTTACAATTTTCATGGATTTAGCACAATAATCAGGGTGTCAGAGTGACCAGAAACAACATTACTATTAATTTATACCAAACACATTGCATACCTATCACTTACAGCAAGAAGGATTTTAAATAAAAAACAAATCAGTTGATGAATAGGTCAGTTGTAGAAAAATGTACGAAACTACTTATCCAAATCATAGGATTAATCTATAAAGTCACTTTGTTAGTTTGAACCATCAAAACTTATTATAGACAGATCATATAAAACGAAATTCTTGTTGTCATAATCAAATGATTCTGTTACCACTATACAATACAATGATGTGATAAGTTGAATACCTTTATGTCATCAGATTTGTTGTGAAACATTTTCACCTTTTAAATTTTAACAAATAGTGGATGAAAATAGCTACTCGAACAAACAACAATCAAGCTTTATAGTACATAAGAAATCTATCAACACACACAAGCGTTGTGCAATGTTGTCTTACAGTATGAAAAAAACATTGTGACAATGAGAGATACACCGGATTTTCGAGCAAAAACTTGGTTTGAACATATATATATATATATGCAAAATCATTTCTAATTACTTAACATTAAAAGTGAGCTCAAACGGGTCGATGTAAAACTTTTGAAAGGAAAACTAATGAAATGAGGTAGCTTTAATGAGCTAAAGAAAGTTGCTTGGTATTTTGGTAGTTTTTCATTTCTATCAATTGAAGATTTGACTTCGGTTTTTTTGTGAAAGCAGAAACTCTTAACATTAACTGTCAATCCATTTTTAGTAAAACTATTAATGGTGAACAAAAATAATTTCAAAACGATATATTTAGACAGCTATAACTTATTGAGAGCTTTCCTTTTTTTACCAATTAAGCTAAGTGATCAACGAGTACTTTGTTCCAAAACAAGGATAATTAAACTTTACACAGTACGAACTGTAAACAATAGGACGTTAAGTTGATTATTCGTGTTATTTCGTAGCCAAATACACTAAATATTTTCTTCATAATATTATTGTGAAGAAATTGCAGAATCTATACACAGATGAAATTATGCATGCTTTAGGTCAAAAAGCCTTAGGGATACTCCTTTATAATACTTGATTACATTGTTATGCCTTTTCATAGGGATATCTATTTATTAGCAATATATAGTCACATTGGTGAAAACTACGATCTCATGAGAATGGGGATTTTGAGGTTCTTACTAGTAATATAAAGCTAAAATAATCAACAATATACACTTCTTACACGAAGTATCATATGTTGTTTAGAAGATAATCGATGAATATTGAGCACATAAGACAAAATCGCATAGTGTAATGCTTTTGTAACAATGAAAACTAAAGCATGTGGATAGAATGACTTCAAACCGCTAATTCGACTGCTGCAATATTCCCTAGACATACAAATCTTATTCAACTTAAGTAATTAATAATTCCAGATTTTCCAACGACGATTTTAGGAACCGAATCTATTAGTCTATCAAACCTCATTTTAAACAGACTGACTAGCATTACCATTTTCATATGTGCTAATCAATGTAAGAAGATTTGGTGTTATGTGCAGTGTTGTGCTCTTTAAAATTAGCCTTTAAATGATTACTAAAGAGAGGAGTATTGTCGCTTAGCTTTGTGAAGTATTCATTTTCCTTATCTGCTTTGACTCCGTATAAAATACCTTGGTATCCCGTTAACTAGGAATATACGTTGCATCATGAGTTTTGAAACTATCACATAGATCGAATATAATTGCTGAATGTAATATGTTACTATAAAATCTGCTTGAAGTACGAAAAATATTTGCTACCATACCTAATCAAATGTAGTCTTAATAAATTCGGAATTATGAGTAGCATGTGCCGGATTTACTAATTCGCTAATGTAATTAAGTAGCAAATGAGTGATCAATAGTTAACTAACAACCAGATGTCCTAAAACAAATAGTCATTAAAGTTCAAGATGTCAGTAACTGCTCCTTAATGGTATTTCATGAGTCATCAGACATTTTCCATAAACATATAAGCGTAATAATCGAACCTGGAAACGTAGATTTTCTGGGTGGGTGCTAAGCCGTGGGACAATGAGTTACTGTACAAACCTAGTTTAGGAACTCGACTGATAACTAATACATAAACGGTCTTGGACTTACTTCAATAACCAAGAGTTGAACAACAAACTAATAATATCAGCTTTTGAAAAGTGAAGTTAATGCACGCAACTCTGCGAATCTATAAGTGATTACTAAGTCACAAAATATGAAGAACTTAGGTAGATAAAGGTTTTTCTGCTCAGAATTTATCAATGTCACCCGGTCTGAAAACTGCCAAAATTACGTTTACTAACATATTGTCACATATCTAACGCTTTCATTGAGAAAATAAATTAAAAGAAACCACATCAGGTTTTATTCGGTCGACTAAAAGTAAACTAAAAATGAACGGCATCAAAAGTGTAAATTATGTATATATTCCACTCCACGAGGGATAACAGGCGGAAGTTTTAGAGTGGAACCCTATATGTTAGAATACATTATTTTTAACCTGTACCAAAGACCCAAGCCCCACTTGTGCTATTTTGTTTTGAGTGGTAAAGTTATATCCCTACTCCGAAAAATTTCAAACTAACGCCAAGTAAATAAACACGTCCTTCATTGATAGGTTGCAGTACATGTGTTACGTTAAGTACATGGCTGCCTTTGTACTTAGATATTTTAGGAGTGACTACCATTCTTCTCATAAGGAAATTGAGGATGTTAGACGACTCTCTGTGTTTGATCATTGCTGTCTCTGAAGGATTGCTGACATCCATTGGCAACACCATGTTAGTAATGCGGAGGTTCGGCATCGTGTGTTCGGGCACAGAGATGATAATGCAATTGGTGTCACCATCTTGAAACATCGACTTCGGTGGCTTGGACATGTTCTACGAATGTCGTCCCAGAGAATTCCACGTCGTGCATTGTTTGCTAACTCTGGGACTGGTTGGAAGAAGCGGAGAGGTGGTCAGTGTATGACATGGTGTAGTGGTATGAAAGAAATCTGCAAAGGGCTGGCTTGTGTTGGTCCTTCACGACTCCCTGGCTGGGGTCCTAGAGATGGTGCGACACAGTGGCTAGAGACGTTATCAGATATGGCTCAAAAAAGAAGCCAGTGGCAATCCTGCTGTAACCTTCTTTTACTTTCTTCATAAAAAATGATGTTTCTTCCTTGACTGAAAGAATTCTTCTGATTGTACTTTTCCATTTCCCCCATTATTACTATTATTATTACACTACCTTACACTTATCTGTTCGTTAATGTTCTTTTTTTCACGCTCCTAACCTTTCTTCTCTTCGAATTCTCATTGTTTTGTGTGGCGCACATGTATTTGGTGTCCTCTTTCTTGCACCAATATTTATATGTTTAAATAAATAAACAAATAAATGTAGGGAAATTACGAAAACTAAAATGGTAGCACCTACAGTAAAACTCGTTGAATTCTTGTATGCTGGCTGATGAAGACATGTTATAGAATTGATATTTTAGATAACCCTTCAGCATTAAGTTGTACGACAACTTCGTCAAGTGGATACCAGTTACAGCAAATGGATACCTGATTGGTTGGAAAGGAGTTAGTGTAATCAAATAACTTCTTAGAATTTACCATTTGTTAGGATGATGTGATGCCGATAACATACTTCGCGCTAATTTTGTGTGTGATTCTGCGAAGTACCTATGTAGGTATAAATTCAAAAGAAAATACTATACAAAGAAAAGTACAGCAAAATTAATAGTAAGGATTTAGGTAGTGTTATTACACTGATTTAAGCTCTATGGTATGTGTTTTCACTTGAAACATGAAACAGTAATAACAAATGAAGCCAATGATGTAGCAATTTTCCTAGGATATATATTCATGATGAGGAATATAACTGGACTGAACAAGAACATAACACAAAGCCTTCTAACCATACTATAGGTCCTAAATGGTATATGGAAATAAATTTGGAAAAGATTCTATCAACCATATCTTCAATATTTATTAGAACACGTAAACATTGGTACAAGAAGGCACCAAATATGTATGCGCCACACAAATCACTTGATTTGTGTGAGGGCTAGGGTACTGCTTGAACTCCCAGACCGAAGCAGTTGGTTCTCTTGGAGAACCACTCCCCGAGCCTTTTAACTAGAGGTCTAATCCACAAGGCCCGTGGTAGTCGGTGACCAACAATAGGTGTATACGCTTTTTTTCCCTCAGGATTCGGGAGTCCATATGCACTATTAGTTTGGAATTAGGGCTTTCCAACCCCCCTAGATGGATCTCTCATGTCCACCAACCCGCTTAAAGCGCCGGACACTCCCTTTTCGTCCTCTCAATTTTATAAACAACAGTGAGTAGAACTTCCCTGGCGGTGGTATGTTTAATTCGTCCACAGTAAATTTGCCTTACACCTTTAACAATAGGGTGATTCACTTTATACAAATTGTGGGGTCTGACAGTTGGAAATGGTGCTCGGCTTTAGAAAAATATGGCTATAATTTCAACTTTTGTCAATATGACATTTCTGACAAAAATGTACCTCAAAACATTCTGAATAACTGCAAAAATTGGACTCGAAATCAATCAAGCATACAGTAAGGGTTATTATAGTATTTAGAATCTAGATCAATAATAAGTAATGAGAGGCATTATTACGGTAGTACTTCAATAAACGTTTGAAGGATGCCAAAACGCGATGTAATGAAACAAACTATAAACTAAGGTTTTGCGCTGCTGAGTTTCATACTAAGACGAAACGGCCGTCCAGTGCTCACAGGTTTCCAGTGGTGGTCTCGCATTATTCAGTCCTTATTTCAATCAAAATTCAACAACCTCCACAAATCTAAACTGATATAAATTATGAATTTTAGCCAGTTTACAGGCTGGTTAAGAGTGCTACAACAACAGTGTCCTTTCAAATGAAAATTCAACATGAGAAGAAAACAGGAGTTGTTACAAGGTCTACACTTCAATGAAATATACTCACGAATAAAAACGGGTGTATTTGGTTGAAACGAATGGGGAGTCAGAAAGTTTATGACATGAGTTCACAAATTACTAGTTTTAAAGTGGATGTCAGAAAGATCACATTAGGTTTTAATTCACTCACATAACACCACCGTAGTATAACACTATGAACTTCAACCGGCGTTCGAAAGATAACCATTTTACCACACCCAATTCAGTTTTAACAATTGTTTACTTTCGTCATTTTACACCTTGTAGTACGGGTTTAAAAAACACAATCACTACATGCAGAAACGGCAGAAAAAAACTTATTTACCCCATAGATGGAGATAGCGAATGCTAGTCTTACATTGTTAATTAAGAGTTCTAACCCTAATGAAAAAGTGGGTGACCATAAAGAATTAATCTATTATTATCAGCGTAGAACCTGCCATACACTTGAACGTGACCTTGTGACTCTGGATACCAATGACTAATTTGTCGAATCTAATGTGGACTACATAAGTGTAGATTTTACATAAAAATAAGGGATTAGTAATGCTGAATGATAAGACTGAAAATCGTCATACGTTGATCGCTTTCACATATATTAGTGTCACATGAGCAAATCAGTTACTTTACACGAAGAACCTTTAAACGTCATTAAGATGAGTTTTGACAAAATATAATCACTAAATTTATGACTAGTTTTGACCAACTAAGTACGACTTACACAAGATTTTCAAGAGACAGTATACCCATTCCGCGGAAATCCGTCTCGGGGTTCTCCGTCTGAAATCCAAGAAGAGTCCACTTCTCTCCATTATGGGATGACAATTCGTTTTGAGAATCAAGACAAATCCATAACTACAAAACTTCAAGTCACTTATGAGAAAAACTACCCTTGAAAGTAATTCGGAGTGATATTGATCATCTGAATTAAACGCAGTACACTTCAAGGCATCCAATGTATTTATTAGTTCCCGATAAGAGTTGATTTGAATGATGCAGTACAAATAATCGGTAGGAAAACTGGCATAAGTTTGTGTATATGATAATACTTTGGTTGATCTTTTAGATCGATACGCTTAGCACTAATGACAAACTGCACATGTGATTTGACATCTGTACATTTTCCCAAAAGCAATCCATTTTGAATAGATTTATTTTTTGAATTCCTCAGCGAGTTTTCTTTTATATACAATCAACACAACACTCAAGCTAAACCAACCTATTCTGACAGTTCTGGGTGCTCCTTTCGGACAATCAGCAATTATGCGACTTAGTTCACACCTCCCTGTTACTAATCGAGAAATATACTTTATCATAGGACGGAAAATTGAATATATCACCTGAAACAAGTAGACAAATATGTATGTTAAAAAATTCATTTGTAGGAGTTGTGTGATGGTGGTAACCGGTTCAGTATGATTTATATGTATCTGGTCAGCAAGTAAGATGAACGTTTGAGTTGAAATACACTAGTCAGTGGACGTCAGAGTAAAAACGTCAAGTCCTTTCGAAGTCACCCGCCGTTGTTTCAACGACCTTGAACGACCTTACAAGAGGTGATCATTCCATGTTGCAATTATCGTTGGTTTGTAGGTTTGTATGAGTACTAAGTTCCCTCATGTTTAAGTGGTCTTTTGCTGTGTTAAGAAGCACAAAACAACTGCCCAAAGCATTAATTTAGCCTTCTCTGTTTTGAGGTGTATACTTTAGCTCTATTGTTGCTTCGTAACTTGATCTGTGATTCGATTTGCTCTAGTGAACCTCACCGCCTTCGTTTGATTTTTCCATGAGGTCGAGAAATATGCTTTATCGTAAGACGGAAAATTGAGCATATCTTCTGGAACAAGTAGTACGACGAGCTTCAAAAGACAACAAGCTACTGAAGATGACACATTTATTTTGGGGATTTATTTACCGCTACAACACCTTGAGGAGAAAGGACGATGACTCTCAAACAAACACTCCAAAAGGAATAGCAAGCATATCCAATATCTTCATGACGAGCCCATTTAAACGGATTTATACGTTTTCGTTCTCATCTTGCTAAATTGATGCGCATACAGTTCCCTGGTAATTTCCAGTGGTCGGTAGTCTAGCTACTTGAATTCACAAGTTCTAGTTAATTTGGTAATTATTTGTGGATTTAAATACCCTCGAATCTAAACAAGTGGGTTTGTGTCACGGTAGCAGGGTTTCTGTAAGCAATAAGTATCACCTTACGAGGCAAGGGGTTGGTTCGTTGCAGTGGGAAATAAAAACTCCAGTACTAAGAGGAGACCATTGTCTCAAGAACTAAATAAATAAATAAGCCTATCGATCGGCAATGCAGACAGTATGAGCAGGCCGAGGTGAAGGAATAGAAATGGGGAGTTGATAATATGCGAGACAGAAAGTCGTCAATAATATGTGATAATGATAACAGTAGGTAAGTTACGAAAAACTCATCAGACAGCTTACCCAAGCGGAAATGGTGATCCGTGGGTGAGCACGAGTTTTTCAAGTCTCCATTTCAACCAATTCACTGAAGGGGTTATAGTTATTTTGATCCGAAGAGCGTTCCAAGTGAAAGCAGCTCTCATTGAGAAAAAGTGGGAGCTATCTGAAATTTTGCCTTTCGATGTGCAATTTTTCAAAGGTTGTGTCGGGGAGCATTATAGTGGTGTTTTAGTAGACTGTTCGTGATAGAGTTGCTTGATGTACATAGTATGTTCGATGCCATCATAAAATTACCTATAGTTCTCCCACACCCCATTGGGAATAATGCTGTGTCGGAATTGGTCTTCGTAATATTTATTCTTTAGCCCTATCACCCACTTGGTTGCTCATCTCTGTACTTGATCTAAGAGACTTATGTCTGTTTCGAAGAGAGGGAGGAAGCAACTTTATGGAATTTGAGCTGAGGTCTTGAGCACATTTTAATCAATATGAGAAACTAGTTTCGGGTGATTGCACCAGGAAGTCTTCTCATAAAGTGTAGTGTTGCATTTCCATCGACTGCAACCACAATATACTTTAAAATAGTGTCCTTGATCTTTGTGGTTGCTGGAACAAGATCACGCTCTGAGGAGACTAGTGCACGCGGATTTTAATAAAAAACTTTAGTTGTTAGTCCACCACGTGGCTGGACGTTCGCTACATGACATTCTGATGGACTAAATTACAACTAATAGCCCTTTTGAAGATATGTTTACCTCCCTATAGACATTCACATTTAAGTATTATCAGGATGTACGGGAATCGACGAGCTAAATGTGTCTGTGAGATCATTTATGAAGATCAAGAAGAAAAATGCGAATAAAATGGTTTCTTTTGCGACTCCTAACGTTAAGATCTTCAAGCTGTTTGGAATTCTGTACAAATTAGTGTTCAACACACAGCTTACTGTGTGATTATCATGCCCGAGAAAGTTAATGTCAGCGTAACCCATCTGTTCAAATTTTCCTATATGCATCAAAGGCTCCAGAGAGGTCGAAGAATATTACGTGAACCGGTGTTTTTGAAACCAAAAGGTTGTCCAGCTCTATCATGCTGTGAAGAGATTTCGAACTCTTGAAAATACCTTCCAGAATCACTTTTTAGCTTACTTGAAAGGAACACATTTGTCAATCTGTTACCTCATTCTGTGATTGGTGCATTCATCCATTATCTTCGAAAGTGTTGGTAATTTGGTGAATCATCCATACCAGTTTTTTATTTCTCCTCGTTTGAAGATCGGAAAGAATCTCCTGACTTCATTCTTTCGAAAGTTCCTGTGAACGTGCGCTTTTCACACACCGGGGTACTGGCGACTTATGTGCACTGTCTCGGGGTTACAAGAGAAACTTGTCTCATCTCAGTGGTTTTCGCATATCGAGGTACTTTATTTTATTCGTAGCTAGCTTAGGAGTTATATAAGTATTCCCCGCATCATCAGCTAGGACTACACTTAAGAAGTATTCCGCGCCAGTGGTTTCCTGGCTTAGTTAGTCGGTGGAGTTGACACGAAAGATTTCTTCCATCTCTAGGTTGGTAAGTCCGAAACCTCTATCCTACTCAGCAGCACAAGTCACCTGTTATGTGTTTTTTCGTTGAGTCATGAACCTATAAATTTTGAGTAAATTTGTACTTAAGCTGGTGGTTTAATTCAGAAATATCTCTTGTCTCTTCGATCTGTGGCGTTGCAAATGTCTTTTAATACCAAGTAAACGATACAGTCAGAATCCTCCATTGAAACATTCAATGTTCCACACCATATTTTCTAAACGTAACAGTCATTTTGTTCCTTGCTGAAGCTAAAGCTTTCCCCTTCCAGATGTGAGTTTTGCTCGAGGTACGTTGCGAAGGATAGCACTCTTAATAATATCCTTCACTATCCATCAGTTTATTTATTTATTTGAACACAAATACTGTTATAAGAAGGCACCAGATACATATGCGCCACGTGATAATAATAAGAAAGGGAAGAGATTAAAAAATACAAAGTGCGTGTAGAAAGAAAAAAGAACAATAACGACCACAGATAAGTGTAAGGTAGCGTAATAATAATAGTAATAATGGGGGAAATGGAAAAGTACAATCAGAAGAATTCTTTCAGTCAAGGAAGAAACATCATTTTTTTATGAAGAAAGTAAAAGAAGGTTACAGCAGGATTGCCACTGGCTTCTTTTCTGAGCCATATCTGATAACGTCTCTAGCCACTGTGTCGCACCATCTCTAGGACCCCAGCCAGGGAGTCGTGAAGGACCAACACAAGCCAGCCCTTTGCAGATTTCTTTCATACCACTACACCATGTCATACACTGACCACCTCTCCGCTTCTTCCAACCAGTCCCAGAGTTAGCAAACAATGCACGACGTGGAATTCACTGGGACGACATTCGTAGAACATGTCCAAGCCACCGAAGTCGATGTTTCAAGATGGTGACACCAATTGCATTATCATCTCTGTGCCCGAACACACGATGCCGAACCTCCGCATTACTAACATGGTGTTGCCAATGGATGTCAGCAATCCTTCAGAGACAGCAATGATCAAACACAGAGAGTCGTCTAACATCCTCAATTTCCTGATGAGAAGAATGGTAGTCACTCCTAAAATATCTAAGTACAAAGGCAGCCATGTACTTAACGTAACACATGTACTGCAACCTATCAATGAAGAACGTGTTTATTTACTTGGCGTTAGTTTGAAATTTTTCGGAGTAGGGATATAACTTTACCACTCAAAACAAAATAGCACAAGTGGGGCTTGGGTCTTTGGTACAGGTTAAAAATAATGTATTCTAACATATAGGGTTCCACTCTAAAACTTCCGCCTGTTATCCCTCGTGGAGTGGAATATATACATAATTTACACTTTTGATGCCGTTCATTTTTAGTTTACTTTTAGTCGACCGAATAAAACCTGATGTGGTTTCTTTTAATTTATTTTCTCAATGAAAGCGTTAGATATGTGACAATATGTTAGTAAACGTAATTTTGGCAGTTTTCAGACCGGGTGACATTGATAAATTCTGAGCAGAAAAACCTTTATCTACCTAAGTTCTTCATATTTTGTGACTTAGTAATCACTTATAGATTCGCAGAGTTGCGTGCATTAACTTCACTTTTCAAAAGCTGATATTATTAGTTTGTTGTTCAACTCTTGGTTATTGAAGTAAGTCCAAGACCGTTTATGTATTAGTTATCAGTCGAGTTCCTAAACTAGGTTTGTACAGTAACTCATTGTCCCACGGCTTAGCACCCACCCAGAAAATCTACGTTTCCAGGTTCGATTATTACGCTTATATGTTTATGGAAAATGTCTGATGACTCATGAAATACCATTAAGGAGCAGTTACTGACATCTTGAACTTTAATGACTATTTGTTTTAGGACATCTGGTTGTTAGTTAACTATTGATCACTCATTTGCTACTTAATTACATTAGCGAATTAGTAAATCCGGCACATGCTACTCATAATTCCGAATTTATTAAGACTACATTTGATTAGGTATGGTAGCAAATATTTTTCGTACTTCAAGCAGATTTTATAGTAACATATTACATTCAGCAATTATATTCGATCTATGTGATAGTTTCAAAACTCATGATGCAACGTATATTCCTAGTTAACGGGATACCAAGGTATTTTATACGGAGTCAAAGCAGATAAGGAAAATGAATACTTCACAAAGCTAAGCGACAATACTCCTCTCTTTAGTAATCATTTAAAGGCTAATTTTAAAGAGCACAACACTGCACATAACACCAAATCTTCTTACATTGATTAGCACATATGAAAATGGTAATGCTAGTCAGTCTGTTTAAAATGAGGTTTGATAGACTAATAGATTCGGTTCCTAAAATCGTCGTTGGAAAATCTGGAATTATTAATTACTTAAGTTGAATAAGATTTGT